TGTCAAGTCAGAATGCCAAAGTTGAGTTGAGTTGGGTGGTGGTACATGTCCTTGTTACATGGGCAGTCATGTTAAAACTATTAAGAAAAGATAGTCCTTAAGATAAAAGCTCCTTTTGATACATATAACATCATGCAAATTAGATGTATACTCCCAATCAAACTATTAACATCACAACTCTATGTTAGAACAGGGAAATAGACACTGAAATTTGAATCTGAAACACTTCTTAAAAGAAATATGTGAACTTGGCCCCAGCAAAATAAGTATAATTTCATTTGTTAAAAAAACAAGAACAATTAGTGATGGTATATATAAAGAGATTATATCTGTTCATCTTGTTCCACAAAGTGATTGCTACACTGGGACAGTCCTGAGTCTATGTTAGTGCATGGGAGTTATGACAGTCCTAAATGTCTTGGCAGTGGAGTGAGGCTGTGGCCCTTCATACAGATGGACAATTCTCTTGGAAACATGACGTTGTTGTGATTGCATATAGAGCTAAACCATACTTAATAAAACAGCTTTAGTCTTTAGATAAAACATACAAGAGGATAATAATTAGCACAACACCTGTATGCATCAGGATATATATGACTAGAGCAATAATGTTGTGGTGGTGGGAATTTTTCGAGTAATACTTTCATTATACAATGTTATGAATGCAATTGGGTGGTACTCTGTGGTAATTTTGTCATACATTTGATCATATTCCTCTGTGGTGTGAGGTATTTAGCTTGGAAGTTTCCTATTGTGCTACAAATGCATTCTGATCAAGAAATACATTCAGGAAATATGTGTCGGTTCAGGATCAGCCTCCAATAGGATTAAAGTAGAATCCTGAAAAGTGTTCTTAAGTAGAAGCCTCAATAAGTGTACTTACTAACAACCCCTAAGGTCTACCGGAACATAGACCATGACATTAAACCTCAAAGAACAAACATAAATGACTGTTATAAAAAAGTTAAACACACAGCTGAAGATCCATATTACAGTTCTTGATAGCGAAGGTATTAAGATTGTTGGAACTTCAATTCAAATTGTAGAATGGATCACAATGAAATCCTATTTACTCTGCTAATAGTAATGTAACACATGTTAAGTGTTCTGAGGAAATGGAGTGTACTGTTTCACAACCATGATTTCATCCAGCGTTGTTATATCTAAATATTGTAGTCTTGAGAAAGCACAAATGTGTACCTGTACAGATATACACCTGTACAATTATACACCTGTACAATAATAATGGAACAGACATGATGAAGATTATGAAATAAAAAATGAGCATAAACATCACAACATATTGTAAATGTGGTTACTTGAGCAAGAGCTGTGGAATATCTTGGATATGTAGACTTTGGTTAAAGATAAAATGTAAACATAACAATGCCAGCACAAACATATCCTGGTTGGTTGTTCTTTATCAAATGATATCAGCAGGAAATACTCCAGTTAACAGTGCTTAGGAACATGCGTAGCTTTAATAAATTTCATGAGCAATGTTCATAAACAGTTTTCATAGCAGATGGTTGTAAATAAGCAAAATGGAGAAAATCAGTGAAATGACTATTTTGTTTATACAGTTTGATGGAAGAGGAAATTGTGGCATTTAAATATATTTGAACTGTTGACTTGATGTACCTATCTCCTACCTTACTGTTTGGCACAGGGGTGCCATAGGTGAAAGATTTCTCTTCTCACACAAAGGAACCAGGTTTGATTCCTCATAATGTGTGAAGCACCTTTCTGTTCACCTTACTGATGGAGGAACAGTGTCATGAAACCATACTCTTACAGGTACCCTATCCAGCTACAGTCACCTATATCAAACTTAGATGTGTGATATTTTACACTTGTACCGACAAGACAAACATTGTTTTGGGCAAGGGTACTGTGTACAAAATATTTATCATATATTAATCACCCTTATGTCTATGGTACAGCAATGTTACATCACATACTTATTGCATTTCATAAATGTGATTGTTACATATCCTGCAGCCCTGTGATGGTACATACTGCTTGAGTATGCTTGTTTGTTTGTTGTTTAATGCTGCACTCAGGAATATTCCAGCTATGTGACTGTGGTCTGTAATTAATCGAGCATGGACTAGAAATGCAGTGATTGACATCAGCATCGATCTATGCAATTGTGATACAATGACATGAATCAACCAAGTCAACGAGTCTGAGCACTTGATCCCATTAGTCGCCTCTTACAACAAGCATGAGTTGCTGAAGACCAATTCTAACTCGGAACCTCACGGGACATTGTCTGATTAAAATGATAACCGCAGGATCTTGAATTATTCTTGAAGACACATTGGTGATGTAGAATGAGACATCTGGAATGAATAATCTCTTGGGTAAGAAACATTTATGGATGAATCTGAGTATTAACCTGATCCTTTTCCCTTACAAGTCATCACGAGATGAAAGTACCGGCTCCAGGCACTTTCTTGTGAGGAAACATGGAACAGTTTTGACAACACCTATCAACGGATTCTCAAATGTATGGAAATCAAAACTTGGTTCTTTCAGCACAAGGCACCATTTCACTGTAGGTTGCTACGTGTGTAAAGCATACTGAAGAAATATGGAATGGTTTTATTGTCCTACTCTTGAAGCAAACTCAACATCAGTTGAGTCTATGTCCAACTTGATTTCATGAGAATAACAAAAACAAATTGCTTAGAAAATCCCTAAATATGAGAAACATCCACTTTGACATTAATTTGCTATGTGTAAAGTTTAATGATGAAATACTAAGTGGATTTTGACTTGTGCTCTGGAAAAAACATGAAACAGGAAGACAAACGGACATGCTGATCACAAATATTGCCTCATGTCAAACATTTAGAAAAGTTCATGCCATAAATATAAGTGAAATTCAGAACAAGTATGTTTCTAATCTTCTAATTATAGAAAACTGTTAAGATTTGAACATAAATACAAATATGACCTCAAAAAGGTCATGGTTCAAAGATGTGTCATTTTCAAACTGACGGAAGACACACACAGCATACATTCTCATTACATGTCAAATTATCACTGACTTCAGTAGGCACTGGCTCCTTGTGCATGATACATGAATGTGTTTAATGCATAACTGTCATGAAAGGTCAAACATCTGTCTCCTGACACTGTCTTGTTATATTCACTTATTGCCATATCAAGCATACTTTTATTCACTGGGCTTGCCAAGAAAAATCATTTGAACACACCAAAGACCACATGCCAGCATGGCACCTTTCTGAGTTAGCAGTGCATGTTATACAATGTTCTAACAACAGTAAATACAACATACATCACAGGCACAGGTCATTCACTACCCATGAATCTGTCACAGGGTTCAGCGACATAATAAACCACAAGGAATCTCAGAATGTTCCAGCTAACCTTGCATATTCAGGGACAATCTGTTTCTGTTATGGCAAAAAGCATTTTCAAACCGTGTGGTTTCAAGTCATAAAAAAAAGAAGACCCAAAATGTTTCAACATTGATGAAGATACTATTATAAAGTTATTCATAAACTGGGTAACCATTAAAGAAATAGTCTCCAGTAAAAGTCCTCATCATTCAAATATAGGTTCTTCACTCATAACTGAATCAGTTAGTGTCTATATGATTAACCAAGGAAACCATGAATAATACATACATATATACTAGAAAAATAATTTTGTGTTTTAATGTTTCATACACAGAGTTATCTAACCGGATGACCGAAGGGTGTTACAAATATTAAATAGTACAATCCCCTATCACAACACTTTGGTAGTGCATGAAACAACCCAGATAAGTTCTTTCTATTATTATCCAATAAACAATAATAAAACAGGATGTGCAATTGCTACCATATAAGATGCTTTTTAATGGTGTCTTCCCATTATGACTATTTCCAATAATGACTACTGTCTCAATACACATAGTTCATGGTTCAGTGGCTACTACTTACAACTGCATATGAATGTAGATAAGCTGGATTTTGAGAACCAGGAAAAAGATTCTGTAGAAAGGCGTCTATGTAAGGGTTACACTTTCATAGACCCTATATATGTTTCTAGGTGAGTTGGAACAGTCATTAAGAGATAAACTGGTATAAAATGGGTTTTTTTAATTTTGGAAATTCATTATTTGTTGTAATTTTATGCCAAAATATGAAAATGAGTTATTACATCTTAACATACAGTTGATCTTTCAAATTCACCATAGATCATGAAATTTGGTGTTGAGTTATCAGCTACAAGTTTAAGAAATTTTAAATGTACTCTTTCAATAAGGTTTATTCAAAGTTCCAAATTTCTGAACATTAAAATTTACATCAAAACATTAAAATCAGGGCACTCATTGTGTCAAATGTCAACATAATTCAAGAGGCAATTTCATATTTTGTGCTTTCCTTAATCATGCAAAAATAGCCATTTTCCGCTGACACTTTTATTGCCATTGTGAATACCTGAACAGGTTTCTCGGTAAGGTATGCTCTGTGATTGCTGTGAAGAATACTAGAACAAATAATACATCCAAAATAAGAATATCTCTCACAAGACTTTGTTCATGTATGAGCTGAGAACAAATGATGACTGAAGTAGTCCATTATTCAAGACGTAGGCTCAATTTATCCATTCAGTAGTGAGGTGAGGTGAGGTGAAATTGGGTTTAACGTCGCGTCCAAGATTATTGCACTTATATAGCGACGTGCATGCACGTGTATGTGTGTGTGTGGCTGCTTGTACTAGTCCGGACTGATGCCGATTTATAGTGCTAGCTCACTGAGATACCATGCCGCAGTTTAACATGAATACCCCACTCAGACACAGTATACTGACTCCGAGCCGACCAGTCCTTGTTTTAGCCCCTTAATTCCGAGCGCCAGACAGGGTAACAACAAGTACAATCTTTTAACGTCTTTTTGTATGACGCGGCCCGGGATCGAACCCTGGACCTTCCGCTCTCCGGGCGGACGCTCTACCACAAGACCACGGAGGCGGTGCCATTCAGTAGTGATAATGGTAAGAGTCATAATGGGAGAGAGAGCCTTGTTAATAAGGTCCACTGTGACAATAAGCACATAAGACACTGATATAAGGCACCTCTTGGCCACATCAATATCAAGCAGGAAATCCTCCCTGGATGAGGGGGTAGATGTGGGCGTAGCCTGTTGGTGGGGTTGGATGAAACACATTTATTGGGTTAAATATTTTTCAACCATGACTTTGAAAAATACTGATTGGTTACTGAGATATGTCAGGTCACAATAACATACTCATAAAAGGAAATGACAACAATTTCTACATGGGGCTATAGTTGAAAGCTTTTGAATGTAAGCGTAATTCCTAAGTCAATTTGGGTAAAAAGAGCTCATTTTTTGGTGAAAAAATGTTAGGTGTAATTATTCATAATAACATGCATTGAAAATCTCATCTTGTTTCTGTGGATTGCAATTTACAATTGAAAATGATGATAATCAGGGAATAAAGGATATGATCTCACTTGGACTCTCAGTCAGTGCCAGCTAAACTACATCTCTTCATTTGTGGAATGTAATTGTAAATAGACGCAAGTAGAGATCGGTAATCAAAAACAGGTAATAGATCACGGTAAAGAATCTGGTTAACAATTGTAAACGAATAGAAAATACAGGCATAGATGTGATAAAAAATGTATGAATGAACTCCTCTTCAAAAACATCTTAAATTGTACATGACAGTAATATTAAAAAGGGGCACACTGATAATTCCTTATACAGGAAGACACATGGACTACCATAAGGATGGAGAGTCTCCACATCATGTACCTTGAGCCTTCATTTAATGTAAGTGACACCCAACATTATAAGGCCAATCTTGTAGGAAGGTATAAGACACTTAAATATATTAATCTTTAGATCTAAATAATATTGCAACAAATAGAATATTTAATGGTTGTGCCCTGGACAACAAGGGAGATATGGCACAAATATCTGTGTATTATGATTTGATTGTCATATCTCCTTTGTCCTCATTTTGGCAGTGTCATGAAACAGCAGCTACTGGTATTAACATTTCAGCTTTATCTTTCTGAATTAAGTATCTGTTACAGGACACAACAGTAACTTTACTCTACTATATTCTGAATTCTTATATATTTTTTATCAGTATATATTAAAAAAACAGTCAGGTCCATGACTAATTGTCTTTGAATAACTTGACACCTTGCAAACATAGCTCACAGCATATCTGCCTCACACAAAGTTTCTAGCATCACAAGAAATGTCACAAAACAAAAGATATAAATATAATTCATAATTCTGTTATTTCCTTACAAAACATCCTGGAAGACTCATTTTTATCATATTACTTTATCATATCTAAACTCCCTCCCTAAGAAATGTAACAATTGGGGTATAAATGTTCAAAACTACCATAAATATTGAGCAACATACAAGCAGTATGCGTGCAGAGTAATAACAAAGTGTGCCACTGTCCAGTCCAACATTATTAGGTTTAGTATTAGATACAGTGATTTCTAAAATATTGGGGAAAAACTCCTTGAACTTCTCATAACAATAAGGATGCTCTTTCATGAATGGGGCACTTTCAATATATATCCTCAAACATAGCTTGGTTCACCAGGCATACTACCTATTTGTAATAATACTCTGGGTAACTTCTATCATTGGCTATTCATTAGATAGGCATCATGATGTGCATCACAAAGGTAATATCATTGCTATGGACATGGAAAGCCATGGAACATCTAATACATACTTAGTGTGGCAAATATAAAAATTTAGTAGACATTTTCAAATTCAGTGGCATATGTGGTCTTTAGGCGTGACTAAGTTCTTTAACATTCTTAGAATGGAATTACCATAACATTACTTATCATGCAAAGGCACAAAGTTAGGAATTCAGGAGGAAGATGTAAACCAACCTACTGTAACCTGTCTGAACAAAGCCCACCATGTGTTTTAGATTGACAGGGGCTTGGGTCATGACCCATGAAAACCCAAATATAGTTTTGAAACATGTCTTATATTTGTTAAAGGAAATGAGCCACTTGACCAATGACAATTCCAATTAAGCTGACTCTGCCTTTGTAAACAGAAACAAACAGTTTTTCTTTCATTAGGACATAATGATCTTTTAAAATGTACTGATATGGTAGAAATTACCCTGGAAAATACGCATAATGAGAAAACATCAAAGCATAACGTTTGCAATTCTACTAGCCATCAGGATACCATCAGCGTAAGCCAAACTGGCTAAGACTAGTGCTACTTTTACCCTTGACAATAAATTAATATTTTAAGTAAAGCGTGGCTATAAGCCTGAAATAATGCTGATGCAACTCACTCACTTGAAGTAAAGCACCTAATAAACAAGTCAATGACACAACATGGAAGAGCTTATTACAGCGGCACCTTTTGTAATTGACTTGGACATAGTGTCACCTACTTTACATTCATCACTAAAGAGACCAAACAGAAATGTGATGAAAATGGAAGCAAGGCACTGTTTGACTGGACAGGAATATTTTGAAGCATCTCCTCCTGGTACCTGGCTCATCACAGTTGAAACTCATATACCATAGGCATAAACCTTCACACTGGGATCAGAGTATTTTCAATAACGTATCCTCAGCAAAAAATAATCTTCTGGTCATCGGAATCCTCCCCTTCTCTGTGCTTCTCAAACAGCCCTGTAATAATGCGAGGACTCCCCTTGGGACTGAGTGTCCGGCTCCCCTCAGCTAGAGGGCTGATGGGCTTCTTAATGGGCGACACCCTTCCTCCTCGGCCATCACTCACAACTGGAGATTCTTCTAATGTGTGTTTGTCAGGACTGTGTGTAACTAATGGAACTATTTCTTCTCTATCATTTCTATCAACTATATCACTTTTTGAAGGAGTCCTTCTATGTACTTTGGGGCTTTCCTTTGCAGGACTGCTTTTCACGTGTCGGATTTTACGATGTGGTTTTGGACTTGATTTAACTGGGGTGGAATACCTCCCGTAGAGAGTTTTTGAGTTTTCAATGGTGTTTAGAGTTGTTTGACTCGTATCCAAACTGTCTTTGCTCCTCATTAAACTGTCTTTACTTCTACGAAGATCCTCACGACTATTTCTGAAGATTTCTGTGGCAGATTTTACTGCCTCTTCCAGCAGCATGCTCGCTGATGCCCTCTGGTGGTAGGCGAGCTCAGCTAGGGCATGTAACTGCCTTGCCTGTTGTTTCCCAAGCTGATCTACCAGTTTACAGAAGTAGCCATCTTTATGAAGGAGCAAGTTGTATGGGATGTCAAATTCCTTCAGCTCTCCCTCGTCAAGGACCTGCAGGATATATAGGGAATATATGACAGTAGAATCTTAACATTATCACTGTCTTTGAGTGCTAGCATGTGATGGGTAACTAATGAAAAAGACAGCATAAATGATCACCTTCCATAAGGATAAGATATATGGATGAACAACTTCTTTATCATGTTTATTACAATTAGGAGCGATGTTTCGGTGTAGGTTCTAACATCGTCATCACTTGCTCACGTTGCTCCTAATTGTAATAAAGAAGTTGTTCATCCATATATCTTATTCTTACTTAGTATTCCAACTTCTAAATGCCTCTCAAAGAAGTGATCAACTTCTGTATTACATAAAGTAGTTTCGGTGTAGATTTGAACACCGTAATAAAGTGAGCTGTCACTTGGGGCTTACTGCTATAGGATATGAACATGGGGATACAAAAGATTTCATTTGTAACAAAGGTTGAGACAAGGACCCTTTGACATTCATGCTTAATATTTTAGCAATGTTGTTAGAATCTAGTATAAGGAAATACCTATCAAAGTTGTAAACATGCTTCCATCATCACGTTTTCTGAAATTATTACAACTCCTGGGCCCACTTGCACAAAGCGATCTTAGCGCTGCGACTATTGTAAGCCTATGTTAAAGTATGGTAGTTACGATAATTTTAGCGCAAAGATCACTTTGTGCAACTGGGCCCTGAATGTATAACAATATGATTTTAGTGGTCTCCTGGACCGAGCCATATCTTGAGGTGCATATATTTACTGGTTGCAGCATTCACTAGGTGACCTAAATATCACCTACCATAATTCTATCACAGTCCATGACAGTGTTCAGTCTGTGAGCAATGGTGAGAACTGTGCACTCACGGAACTTGGCCCGTAAAACTCTCTGGATAAGTTGGTCTGTCCTGAAAACCAATTTAGATGATTGTCAAAGATGACTGAAAGACTTCATTATCTGTTCGCACATGTAGACATACCAAAACCCCATTGAAAATGGATGGTTAGATAATTCCTTTTCCTTGAGCTGAAACCATATTGTTGCTATTCATTTATTTCAAGCAATGTTCAGACAAGGCAATGAAAAAGGCAGCTAACATAGAAATGGTTTGCTTTTCAGAAACTCCCCATTAGTCAAGCAGTGACCTCATCAGTATCTGTCTGTATTTATTTTCCCTCCCCAAATCAACCATGCACCTGCTTATGTCCTAGAGGGAATACTGCACCTTTTTTATATCTCTGTTGACAATTCTGTTGTTCTCGCGCTAATCTTGGATTTAATATCTGTCTAGTGAGAATCCTATATCTATTGTTTTTGTGAGAATCCTATATCTATTGTTTTAGTGAGAATCCTGTATATACACTGTTCTTGTGATAATCCTGCACCTACTCTAATTCCAGTGAGAATCTTGTATGCACTTACTCATGGTCGACATGAGCAGTCGCCTCATCCAGGACAAGTATCTTGTTGGCAGCCAGCAGAGCTCGGGCTAAACAGACCAGCTGTCTCTGCCCCACACTGAAGTTGTGTCCAGATTCTGCCACGCCCATGTACAGGCCCCCGGGGCTGTCCTGAATCTTTGTCTTCAGCTGAACCTGTGCATCCGCAAACAACATGGTCATCATATATAAGGTAAACTCTACAGCAGTGTCTGCATCCTGATTCGATACACAACATGGTCATCATATATATAAGGTAAACTCTACAGCAGTGTCTGCATCCTGATTCCATACACAACATGGTCATCATATATAAGGTAAACTCTACAGCAGTGTCTGCATCCTGATTCCATACACAACAAAGTCATCATATATAAGGTAAACTCTACAGCAGTGTCTGCATCCTGATTCCATACACAACATGGTCATCATATATAAGGTAAACTCTACAGCAGTGTCTGCATCCTGATTCCATACACAACATGGTCATCATATATAAGGTAAACTCTACAGCAGTGTCTGCATCCTGATTCCATACACAACATGGTCATCATATATAAGGTAAACTCTACAGCAGTGTCTGCATCCTGATTCCATACACAACATGATCATCATATATAAGGTAACCTCTACAGCAGTGTCTGCATCCTGATTCCATACACAACATGGTCATCATATATAAGGTAAACTCTACAGCAGTGTCTGCATCCTGATTCCATACACAACATGGTCATCATATATAAGGTAAACTCTACAGCAGTGTCTGCATCCTGATTCCATACACAACATGGTCATCATATATAAGGTAAACTCTACAGCAGTGTCTGCATCCTGATTCCATACACAACATGGTCATCATATATAAGGTAAACTCTACAGCAGTGTCTGCATCCTGATTCCATACACAACATGATCATCCTATATAAGGTAAACTCTACAGCAGTGTCTGCATCCTGATTCCATACACAACATGGTCATCATGTATAAGGTAAACTCTACAGCAGTGTCTGCATCCTGATTCCATACACAACATGATCATCATATATAAGGTAAACTCTACAGCAGTGTCTGCATCCTGATTCCATACACAACATGGTCATCATGTATAAGGTAAACTCTACAGCAGTGTCTGCATCCTGATTCCATACACAACATGATCATCATATATAAGGTAAACTCTACAGCAGTGTCTGCATCCTGATTCCATACACAACATGGTCATCATGTATAAGGTAAACTCTACAGCAGTGTCTGCATCCTGATTTCATACACAACATGATCATCATATATAAGGTAAACTCTACAGTAGTGTCTGCATCCTGATTCCATACACAACTTGGTCATCATATATAAGGTAAACTCTACAGCAGTGTCTGCATCCTGATTCCATACACAACATGGTCATCATATATAAGGTTGAACAGTTGCGTCTGCATCCACAGCAGTAGAAACTAACATTTTTAGTCCACTAGTCCTTATAATGATTACAAATAGCAAAATCCTTAAAAATGGCAAATTTCTTTAAGTCCTTATGATACCTTAACTATGGGACTGGTGCCAATTTCTCCTGCTCATCCACTTACAACATGGTGGTCATCATATATAAAGTCTACATTACAGTGTGCAGCAAACCTGAGTCAACTAGCCCCAAATCTTCCTTTGGCATCCTTTTTAGAGGTTCTTAGTGATGACATATAAATTATCATTAGCTGGGTACCGGTATATCACACAGAATGAAGTTTTACTAGATTTGGCTTTTGAGTGGTGGCGAAAGTCACCGAATGACAAAATTCCCAATCAATTCTTCTTATTTGGTATTTAGTACCATAGTCCTTATATTCACACAAACTTATCCTAACAGTTAACAGTAAAGGTGTTTTAAACTCATTTTATCTTGTCGATAAGTGTGAAAGATCAGTTAGGAACAAAATTCTTTCATTATGGCAGTTATTCGAACAATATGATATCTCTTACAGTCATATTCCACTGTGTAATCTGCAAAATTATTATATATTTTGACTGCAAACATTTCTCATAAAACAATGTGTAAATAAACTGAACTGTGTGTACATAATTTACAAGGCAAATATGATTAAAATTTGATGATAGTCCCTGCTCTAGTGTCTATTACAGCATAAACTTATATCAAATGTAGCGCCACAATGTAGCGCCACGATCATTCACTTGGGGATGGAATCTGGCGCTTCCTAAATGGACTTCTTATCATTTGGTAGAAATTCATTTAGTATTGGTTTGATCCCCCAGTCAGCTATATGTCAGCCATATCATCACATCCTGCAAACAATCAAGTCTGGAGCAGACAAACCAGTGATTGATATCATGAGCAATGCCATCAGGGTCCAATGCCGAAGTCATTGAGCATGACCACCCAATCCATATGGTTGCATTAGCAACTAGATACTTTTTTACCCTAGAACTGCCTAGGATTAGCAATTCAATATCTTAGAAACGGTCACCAGCAGATGCACCAGTTTGCCTTAGACATGAGGCCCCGATCAGCCATAAACTGTTACCTGTTCCAACACCTCCCACAGCCGGTCGTCCGTGTAGACTTCCAGGGGGTCGAGGTTCCGCCGCAGACTGCCCGTAAACAGAACAGGGTCCTGACGACAGACAGAACAAATTTCCCAATATTTCTTCAAAACATATCTAAATTGTTTTGCATCCTCATAGTGCAGATAATTTTATTCTCACATACTTGTTTTTTATTTGGCAGTTTGCAACAACATTCTTTCACTTTTCACCATTATCGGCATGAATTTTTCCTTGTGTGCTCTCGAAATTGAATTGAAAATTACATCACAAAACATATTTGTGTCAGATTAAAATATCATTCTTATTACCGGGTAATTGATTTACACATAAGAAAAAAGGATTTTACAGAAGTATTTCAGTAATTGTAGAGGGCAAAAGATAAAATTCGGCTGACAATATGGACATTAAATATGGACTCCTCTACAGCTTGTTGAATAACCAGACCTGAGGAATGACTGATATTTTCCCCCTGAGTTCAGTGAGGCCAATGATGTTGACATCCATGCCATCTATCCACATCTTTCCTTCAGGTTCAGCCAATCGCAGGAGAGCTGCGAGGAGGGAGCTTTTACCTGCGCCGGTACGGCCCACTATGCCAATCTGAAATTATACAATCAGTCCATGCTGTAAACTCTGTCATATTTTGTATATAGACATAGAATGGAAACCTGAGCTCCTTTACACCATATATCATGTCAATCACTGGTCCAGGCTTACTTATTTACAGACCACCCGTCGTCATATAGCTGGAATATTGGAGTGAGGCATTAAACAAAAACAAACAAAGCCTTTCAAGTTAACAAATATAGTCCTCGCCATGTTCAATGGTATCTTATATAATATCATCAGAAAATATAATAAATATACTTTTTACAGAATGTTACTTTATACTAGATCTTCTATCTTTAGATGTACTACATGAACGAATAGTGCGCCATGCTCAGTGATGTATACTTGACATCTTTCTGATCAAATGACGAACAAGCAGTTATACTTAATATAGCTGATATCTTAGAACGCCTACACAAATCATGAGCCCAGCAAAAACTAAACATCTATCAACATAGTGAAGTGATTTTTCACTCTCTTCTATGCATGCTGTAACTACAGGTCTCCGTTTCTGGTGCTTTTTGAAGGTAACTGTCTTAATTAGGTTCACGTTCCAAGCCCATTACTGCCTTCATTAGTAAAGTATCAAGGCTTCAGGTGCATACAATATTTAAACACTGACATGCAGTGTTCTTCATTCGTCTTGGTTGCATGTAATGAACACCAGTTTTCTAACTTACTTTCTCCTTGCTCTTGATATGAAAGTTGATGTGTTTGAGAGCGTAGGGTAGATTGTCCTCATATCTAAGACTGGTGTCACTGAATGAGATTGTCCCCTGCATTGGCCATGTATCGGGAGGCGGGCGATCAGACTCCATGGGCCCTTCCTGGGCCAACTTGTTGTACGACAGGATCCGCTCTACCGAAGTCATCTTGAAGGAGAGTAAGAAGGCTTGCAGGTCAGTGAGTTTGATTAATGCTGCAGTGAACATTATGTCAGTTATACATTTTGTGGCAGAAAGTGATGCATAATCAGTGCAAATCTGAGATTCAAACCAATGATCAGCAGATGCTGTCACTGATAAGAGATGTAATTCTACAACAAATTGCAACATTTACTTTTGTCCTTATGTTTTGTTTGTTGTTTATCACTGCACCCAGCAATATTCCAGCTAAATGACAGCGGCCTGTTAATAATTGAGTGTGGACCAGACAATCCAGTGATAAAATGGTGAGCAATGATCCATGCTGTCTGTGTACAGGCATGCTATCAACGGAGTCTGACCACACAATCAAATTTGGTCGCCTCATATGACCAGCATAGGTTCCTAACCCATACTGATGACATATTTACATCATGCTTTTGAAATAAAAGATACAGGATATGTGGTTTAAAGACATCTTTGTTCCAGTTTTACTGTAGCGTAAGTTTATACACCATGATGCAACATTTCAGTCAGGGTGACAAATAAATGAAACAGATCAATACTTACCAAGAACTGAATATTTGCAAGCAAAGTACTTGAAATGATAAGTAATCCGTTGAATCAATAAATAGGCACATCACTAAAACTTACGTAGTTTTCCACTTCAGCTGTTATTCTCATGAGAAATTCAAAAGGTTCTATTATGGCTGTGCAGTAAACCAGTGCAAGTGACAGTAAACCACTGGACACAGCTGAAAAACAGGGAGGGTACATAACTAAGGCTGCCAATTATCAAGCTATATTTCACTGTTTTTTCTATTCAATCTTAATACTTGTGATCAATAAACCTTCTTAGATACACATATAAAGTGAGTGAGTGAGTGAGTGAGTGAGTGAGTGAGTGTGTGAGTGAGTGAGTGAGTGAGTGAGTGAGTGAGTGAGTGAGTGAGTGAGTGAGTGAGTGAGTATAGTTTTATGCCTCTTTTAGCAATATTGTCATGACGGCAGCTGTAAATAACAGTCTGGACCAGACAATCCAGGGATTGATATTGTGAGCAATGATCCACGTCAGGGTACGATGCCATGCCATCAATCATGTCAGCAAGCCTGACCACACGATCCACTAAGTCGCCTCTTACAACCAGCATAGGTTGCTTGAGTCCTATTCTAACCTGGAATCCCTACAACAGAACTGGAACAATAAATAAACATATTGACTTACTGTCTTTCAAGACAAGGCACACATAGATGACTATGTTGAAGAAGACAACCATGACGAGGACGGATCTGAAGCTGTACCAGCGGAAGGAGGAGAGGTATGTGAACCATGCACTGGAGTGGATGTTCACATGCTGGTCAAACTCATGCTGAAACTGGTCCTGTTTGTTCAGTGCTCGTATTGTCTGCAATCCCAGGATTGTGTCTGATACGTGGGAATACATTGGGCTTCTGACTGGAATGAAACAAAATATGCTCTCATACAGATTTATGGAAGTGTCACAGTTTGTTTTTAAGTGAATTTCAACTCACATATTAGGTATTTCAAAATCTGTCTGTGACTTCAGTCACCAGTAAAATCTGTTTTGACTTGTACACTCAGCTATTAATATTCCATATACATGTATTAACAAGTTACAATCCACTGAAAATGATGCTGAAAGACGATTTCGGGTCACTGGAAAAGGTTCCCACTGCACATTCACATTCAGGTCCCACTGCACATTCAGATCCCGCCGTACAGTCACATTCAGGTCCCACAGTACAGTCACATTCAGGTCCCACGGTACAGTCACATTCAGGTCCCATTGTACAGTCACATTCAGGTCCGACTGTACAGTCACATTCAGGTCCCACTGTACAGTCACATTCAGGTCCCATTGTACAGTCACATTCAGGTCCCACTGTACAGTCGCATTCAGGTCCCACTGTACAGTCACATTCAGGTCCCACTGTACATTCACATTCAGGTCCCATTGTACAGTCACATTCAGGTCCCACTGTACAGTCACATTCAGGTCCCACTGTACAGTCACATTCAGGTCCCACTGTACAGTCACATGCAGGTCCCTCCGTACAGTCACATTCAGGTCCCACTGTACAGTCACATGCAGGTCCCACTGCACAGTCACATTCAGGTCCCACTGTACAGTCACATGCAGGTCCCACTGTACAGTCACATTCAGGTCCCACTGTACAGTCACATTCAGGTCCCACTGTACAGTCACATTCAGGTCCAATTGTACAGTCACATTCAGGTCCCACTGTACAGTCACATTCAGGTCCCACTGTACAGTCACATTCAGGTCCCACTGTACAGTCACATTCAGGTCCCACAGTACAGTCACATTCAGGTCCTAGATGTACAGTCACATTCAGGTCCCACTGTACAGTCACATTTAGGTCCCGATGTACAGTCACATTCAGGTCCCACTGTACAGTCACATTCAGGTCCCACGGTACATTCACATTCAGGTCCCACTGTACAATCACATTTAGGTCCGACTGTACAGTCACATTCAGGTCCAACAGTACAGTCTCATTCAGGTCCCACTGTACAGTCACATTCAGGTCCCACTGTACAGTCACATTCAGGTCCCATTGCACATTCAGGTCCAGATTTACAGTCACATTCAGGTCCCACTGTACAGTCACATTCAGGTCCCACTGTACAGTCACATTCAGGTCCCACTGTACAGTCACATTCAGGTCCCACTGTACATTCAGATCCTGCTGTACAGTTACATTCATGTCCCACTGTACAGTCACATTCAGGTCCCATTGTACAGTCACATTCAGGTCCCACTGTACAGTCACATGCAGGTCCCACTGTACAGTCACATGCAGGTCCCACTGTACAGTCACATTCAGGTCCCACAGTACAGTCACATGCAGGTCCCACGGTACAGTCACATTCAGGTCCCACTGCACATTCAGATCCCGCCGTACAGTCACATTCAGGTCCCACTGTACAAGGACTGGTCGGCTCAGAGTCAGTATACTGTGTCTGAGTGGGGTATTCATGTTAAACTGCGGCATGGTATCTCGTGAGCTAGCACTATAAATCGGCATCAGTCCGGACTAGTACAAGCAGCAACACAAACACATACATACACGTCGCTATATAAGCGCAATAATCTTGGACGCAACTTTAAACCCCATTTCACCTCACCTCACCCACTGTACAGTCACATTCAGGTCCCATTGTACAGTCACATTCAGGTCCGACTGTACAGTCACATGCAGGTCCCACTGTACAGTCACATTCAGGTCCCACTGTCCAGTCACATTTAGGTCCCGATGTACAGTCACATTCAGGTCCCACAGTACAGTCACATTCAGGTCCCACGGTACATTCACATTCAGGTCCCACTGTACAATCACATTTAGGTCCGACTGTACAGTCACATTCAGGTCCAACAGTACAGTCTCATTCAGGTCCCACTGTACAGTCACATTCAGGTCCCACTGTACAGTCACATTCAGGTCCCACTGTACAGTCACATTTAGGTCCCACTGTACAGTCACATTCAGGTCCCACTGTACAGTCACATGCAGGTCCCACTGTACAGTCACATTTAGGTTCCGCTGTACAGTCACATTCAGGTCCTACTGTACAGTCACATTCAAGTCCCACTGTACAGTCACATTCAGGTCCCACTGTACAGTCACATTCAGGTCCCACTGTACAGTCACATTTAGGTCCCACTGTACAGTCACATTCAGGTCCCACTGTACAGTCACATTCAGGTCCCACTGCACAGTCACATTCAAGTCCCACTGTAGTCACATTCAGGTCCCACTGTACAGTCACATTCAGGTCCCTCGGTACAGTCACATTCAGGTCCCACTGTACAGTCACATTTAGGTCCCACAGCACAGTCAGTCACATTTAGGTCCCACAAAGCTATTTGGGTGAGAACTAAGAAATAACTTGTCCCTTATCACAAATAAACTGAAACTGCCGTAACATTCCACAAAGCCATCTTGGCACAACTGTTGAAACAGTCCACAAAGCATATCAGCAGTGACTGTCATAATATTCCACAAAGACATCTCAGCACGACTGTCGTAACATTCCACAAAGACATCTTACCACAATTGTTGTAACATTCCACAAAGACTTCTTACCAAAACTGTTGTAACATTCCACAAAGACATCTTACCACGATTGTTGTAACATTCCACAAAGACATCTTACCACGATTGTTGTAACATTCCACAAAGACATCTCAGCTAAACTGTCGTTACATTCCACAAAGACATCTTACCACGACTGTTGTAACATTCCACAAAGACATCTTACCACGATTGTTGTAACATTCCACAAAGACATCTTACCACGATTGTTGTAACATTCCACAAAGACATCTTACCATGACTGTCGTAACATTCCACAAAGACATCTTACCACGACTGTTGTACCATTCCACAAAGACATCTTACCACGATTGTTGTAACATTCCACAAAGACATCTTACCATGATTGTTGTAACATTCCACAAAGACATCTTACCACGACTGCTGTAACATTCAACAAAGACATCTTACCAAAACTGTTGTAACATTCCACAAAGACATCTTACCACGATTGTTGTAACATTCCACAAAGACATCTTACCACGACTGCTGTAACATTCCACAAAGACATCTTACCACGACTGCTGTAACATTCCACAAAGACATCTCAGCTAAACTGTCGTTACATTCCACAAAGACATCTTACCACGACTGTTGTAACATTCCACAAAGACATCTTACCACGATTGTTGTAACATTCCACAAAGACATCTTACCACGATTGTTGTAACATTCCACAAAGACATCTTACCATGACTGTCGTAACATTCCACAAAGACATCTTACCACGACTGCTGTACCATTCCACAAAGACATCTTACCACGATTGTTGTAACATTCCACAAAGACATCTTACCATGATTGTTGTAACATTCCACAAAGACATCTTACCACGATTGTTGTAACATTCCACAAAGACATCTTACCACGACTGTTGTAACATTCCACAAAGACATCTTACCACGATTGTTGTAACATTCCACAAAGACATCTTACCACGACTGCTGTAACATTCCACAAAGACATCTTACCACGACTGCTGTAACATTCCACAAAGACATCTCAGCTAAACTGTCGTTACATTCCACAAAGACATATCAGCTATGACTGTCCACTACCTTTGTGCTATAACTATTTAACATTTCACAAAGCCAGCTTAGCGCTAGGACAGTTGCAACGCCTGTGCTCTTACATTGTGACTTGTGGTGATAGTCTCAAAGCTGCCGGTGGCTGTCAAATGCCAACAAAACAAAGCACACTGTTTCAATAGGCCCTTGATCATTGTGCTAACTATTGTATCATTTACAAGTAAATCATACCATTTGCTTCAATACGCTTGATATCACGGGTTGTCTGAATCGCGTAGAATCGGAGACAGAAGATGATGATTAGAGCCGGAACCAGGGCAATGAATAGCCAGGGTGCTATTATACACACAATCAGAACAGCAGCAATAATAGCCAGGGTGTGCTGAAATAGGTAAAGCACATCATACAAGAAAACATATGACAAAGACATTAAGACTGAGATGACATAGGCAGCGTTTGTACGCCAGTAACCATTGTTACGTAATTGCTATCTCGGATGCTTGCAGTGTAATCAAGATCAGACCAGGCAAACCAGTGTGTCGGAGTGAGAGAATGACCAACAGTCAGTATAAGTTGTTTTATACTGCAGTTTATACACAATATGTAGGTACATGTAATCAAGTCTTCACCAACAGATCATGTTGATACCATATCCAACTCACATATCCTAGTCTGCTAAATATTTCAGTCTGTGGTATTGGCTTACTCTAAATCTTGAAATTAAATGCAATGATGCTAGTGGTCCTTGCTCGCTAGCATCGCATTGATTAGACTTCGCACAACTTGGGATAGCAGAATTATCAACTTGAATCTAAATGCAAATAACTATATATTCCACATCACAGTTTATTGAACAGCAGTTGAAGCAAGTATATAACAATGTCTCTCAAAATAATGGAAATTATGCAATGGGCATCTGGTGAGTTAACATCGCTGTTTGGAGTATGGGAAGGTTGGATTAAGGTAAGGACATCAATTTCATTGCACTTGGGAATGGTAGAGTCGCATTAATATTGAGTTCGCAATTTTTGGCTAGAGGTCAGCAGTCGTATTAATTTGGAGACACATTAATTTCAAGATTTACAGTATTCTGTCCTGGAATCTCTAAGGGTCAAAATAAGTCCTGCATTAGGTTTCATACCATGAGCTAGAGGCGAGTGGTACAAAACCTAGCAAGGGATACATAGAACCACATCTACTCCAAGTGATGCTGCTACAAGTAACAACAAACTTATCTTCCCAACATGTTTCAAACTGCCATTGCAAAAGAAAAAAAAAATTTGAAAAGTGATAGGAAACAGCTCAGCTGAGGTTTACTTGTGCTGTGTCACATGACTTTCATTGACTCGTAAAAATCAAGCAGCTTTTTGCTTCATAGTGGGGTGAAAGAAGTTTCTCCTCCTGGAAAAAAGTCCATGTGCAGCCTGTTTTCTTAATGGCAGGGCATAAGAGATTTATTTTCACAGTTCAATGATCAGAGTTGAATAAAATAACACTCCTGGATCGTCAAGCTCAGTATACAAGTGATGACTTGTCATTTGACATATTCACTATGCCTGGGTGAAGACAGTGTAAGATCTAGGCTTGGCTATTAAGTGCAAGGAAGGATAAAATGTCTGCAGGTCTGCAGATGCAATGTTCCATAGATCAACATTTGCCTAGACACCAAACAATTTTTTTTACATATACATATGTATGAGAGAATGCATGGTATGTCTATGCCTTGATATATTACCTGGCTTGTGGCATAACACAGTCTGTTGAGCAGGATGTCAACAAATCCCAGATCTCTTGAGAACCGATTCAAAATCCTCCCTGAAATAGACAAACATGAGGAGTATAAGCAAGGATTAGCTGTGTACAGTCAGCAACAAGCAGATGATACCTGCAGGTGCCCCTGGTTTTAGATTTTGTTAATTGAGTTGATCTTCCTCACTGGTATAAGAGTGAATGAGTTGAATTCAAAACCGCTTTAGATAGGTCTTCTATTAAATCACTGCCTAAATGCCAAGTGTGGGAGGAAGCCAATAACAGACTAGGTCACAGGTACTTCCAAGATACCAGTCATACAATTTCATAATGAAACTAAATATGCATAAATTCCAAAGGACTCCTTTTCATACAAAGCTACTCACCCACAGGGTTCACATCGAAGAACCTTGACCTTGCTCCCAGCACAAATGCAAACATCCGGTCATGTAGCCTTTGTGAAGACAGAGCACCAATCTGGAAAACTAGGACGGAAAAGACGATGCACAAGACGACATGGGCACACACGAGGATAACAAAGAACTGTAGCGGTAGCTCCATGGTGTCCCATGACTTGACACTGGAGTCCGGTGGAACCTCTGTGGCATTGACCATCCCACTGGTGTTGTTCACATACTGCGGACTGAGGCTCTCAGACCTACAACAATGATGATTTGTCTCTATTATGGGTGTCCTATCCATGACAGGTTACATTGAGGGTAGTAACGATACATTTCGTCAAACTACAACTTACATTGCTTTGCAAATAAAAAAGCTACTCACTCCTGATTGGATACTGAATGGGTCATTTTTTCAGTTACCACTGACAGATATGTAAAAGTTTCTTACCAATGCAAATACACTATGATGTTATTATCTCACCAAGGAAATGCAGTTAAGCCATCTTAACCGAGCATATTTGATTGTAACGCAAGGAGATAACTCCGGATGCGTTCCCACCGTCTTCTAGCCATCAAAATGTCAGTGAAATGGTACCAGCGCTAGGCATACTGAAGGCATCTTAATCAGTTAAAAGGGAGAAAATAATGCAGATAAGATACATTTAATGTCAACCAGTCCCTTGGGATGTACCTAGTGTACATCACACCATATACCCTGCAAGGCCTTAAGACAACTAATAATGTTGAGGTTGAGTTGAGGTTAAAGTAAAGAGTGAGTGAATATTGCAGAGAGCAATAATTCAAGACATACCACAGCAGCCTGTACACAGGGTAAATATACAAGTTGTGACCAGCAATCACCAGACAAACAAGCCATACTTATCTTATCTTAGAGAATGAGGAACTATGGACCTGCAAAATGTGACAAATCGATAATTTCTTGTGAAGTAGGACAACGCTCACCATTTAGCCAGCATCCAGTTTGAAGCTGAGAATACACTCTGCAACATAAAAATTGTGATTGTGAATTAAGTATAGCGAGAATGGCATGAGCATCCATGTTTAAATAACACAATTGCAGATTTACCAGAAACAATGTCACAACAAGAAAACAGCATTATCACTAGTCCTTGTGTACATTAGAACTTGAGGGGTTTACCTCAATTTTGATTTTCTTTAAGCATGCACTGCAAACAGGGCAAAAACATTAAGGATATGAATCATGATACAGAAAAGGACACTATAACCCATTTGGTTTTTAATTTATGCTCTAGAAATGAAAGCAAAATGTATTAGGGTCAAATACAACTTGTTGCCATGGAAACAGCAAAAGGCATGTGTTTGATACATATGCAAAGTTTCATAATAAAATAGTAAACGGTTTCCGAGTTACACACTGGCAACGAATGCTACATGTATTTGAGTCTAAGTACGATGCGTTGCCAAGGAAACACAATTTTTTTTTTTTTTAGAAATACTAAAACAGCAAAAGGCACCAGTTCAGCATATGTTTGTTATATATGCAAAGTTTCATAATAAAATAACAAACCTATGATACCAACACATGATTCTGTATCTCACCTCGGTTGCTATCCCCAGTAGCAGGGCAATAGGTCCAAGGATCACACCATAGCCTGCCTCCAGATACTTGGCATAAACTTGAATACCCACTGCACCTGATTCTGTCACGTCCTGTTCTTCCTTCTGTATTGCAGTTGCTATCTGATAAACAAGTGAAAAGCAAAGTTCAACCACTTCTTGATAATATAATGCAGTGTTCAAAATGAGGCTTGAATGTCACAGGGTGCTTGTGATACCACTTTCTACCACGTCCTAGAGTAGACTACCATAGAAGATGTTAGAAACTTAGATTTTAAATCCATTAGTCCTTATAATGATATATAGTAAAACACTGAAAAATGGCAAATTTCTACTTGTCCTTAAGATACCTTAAGATCACTCACACCAAACATAATTATTTAAACTAATAAAAATATGGCCCTTATTAGTGAGTTCAACTTTGTCATGCCAAGCTCGATGCCATAGCAAATCTTAGTACCTCTACCTCCAATATACGGTAGTAACCTGTCAAACCTTCATTTTTCTTAAAATATTTCCCGATCATGGGTTATTGATTCAAAGCTTCCTACCAAGATAGTTACCCTTGAGAGGAGAGAGCCTCGGAATAAAGAAGTGTCTTCACCCTCAGGTCTCACAGCATATACAATCCCATGTATAACTGTGTGTCTCATCCTACGTATAACTACCCAATTACATCAAATACCTATATACAGTTGGCTTGTAATCATAACAGTTTATAAGGGAGAATCCATTTGATTTCTAGGGGTGAAGGGGGGGGGGGGGGGAGGGAGAGAGAATATCCAATTGTCAAAATATTGTTTTGTGTTAATACTAATAGCAGCGTTAGAAATTGGCACAAGTCCTGTAGTCCTTACCAAACTGCCCAATAGTAAAGGTATCCTAAGGACGAGTAGAAATTGGCCCATTTTAAGGGTTTTGCTATATGTTATCAGTATAAGGACTAGTGGACAAAAACTGTTGGTTTCTAACCCTGATAATAGTGAAAATGAATAGATTGTTTGATGGTGCAGTTCCCACCCCCAATACAAACCAGACCGATGCTCCCTCAGAGACAGGGAATAAAGACCATGTGACAGTGAAGAGTGATAAGCAAATGGACGAAGCATGGTAATGTCAACTCCTTTTATGGCTTTGAGACTACACTACCCCAGATAAATCTCATGAAGCTGTTTATGATAAGCTGCAAGTTTATTCTAACTAGCTACCATGTTGAAGCCAGTTTGCTTGATACTGTATAGAGTATGTAATAGCAGATATATGTCAGACCTGATGATGGCTGCACATACGGAGAACATAATGAATTAGATACAGTTTATAATAACACAGATAAATGTCGCTATTACATGCATTCTTTGTAAAAAATCCTAATGGCTGGTATAGAGGGAGGGAGAGGGGTCTACGGTTGGTGTGGTACTCAAGTGTTAGAGTTGGGGTTACATGCTGTACTCAAGTGTTAGCTGACAAAAATAGTTGTCAAGGAAACACTGAATAGGAATAGGATATGATACTACCAAGAATAGGATACAAGACTTCTGATTGGTTCATAAACTCAACAGTGATACAAGGCTAGTCTGGACAACATCATTTCCAGGGAAATCATCAGCATGAACAAATTGCTTGAAACACATCATAGTTATGAAGTGACGAGACATTACATATAAATATATGTACGAATGATGTGTAGAAATTGATTACGATCATCATCTGGACTATCTGAATCCAGACTAACTCTGTTAAAACTGGATAGTAAAGACGTGCGTAGGAATTTACCAGGAACCATCTTCATAAACTGGCAGTGAACAAGGGATTCATGCTTGATTCGTTTTTCAGAGAAGTTTAAACTGACTAACACTACAGGGTGACTACATTGACAAACTCATAAAAATCAAGTCTTTTACTCCAACCCCTTCATAAACCCTGAGTGAATTTTGTTTGTTGCTTAGCAACACTCAGCAATACTCCAGCGGTCTGTAAACAATTGAGTCTGGACCGGACAATCCAGTGATTAACATCACAAGCATCGTTACATGCATCTGGGATACGATGACATGCATCGACCAATTCACTGAGCCTGACCACCCAATCCAATAAGTCACCTCTTACGACAAGCAGAGGTTGTTGGGGACCTACATTCCCCACATGTGGAGTGAACTTGACCCCCCAACACAACCATTCCTTCGATTGTATTCTCTCTTGGGTGTAGAAGTACATATATACTGGTAATGGTGCAGCCTCTATTATTTACAATCTGATCTGTTCATTTAACTTCAGTTTCGAGATAAAGAAATCAAATCATATGTTATTCTGAATGCTTTGGTCACTCGAAGAGAAATTTGATAAACTCGACACTGATTGGCTGATTAGTAAGGTCACCTGACGCAATCTCCTATAGAGATTCTTGCAGAGATGTATTGGAGAAAACACATTGATTTTAATGAGACAGCAAGGTATTAAGAACTGGGACCAGGTCTGAGCCATCAATTCATTACACAAATAGTTTCACATCAACTTTTAATGAAAAACTCATTTCAACACACGTATTACACAGTGAAATGTCATTAACAGTAGCATGGTTCTGTATTCAAATCTGCCAAAGAAAAACAGCATACAGCTACCAAACTATGGAATACATACTAGGGCTGCAACGAATACACTATGAGACGAATACGATTCGTATCAGGAATATAGGGTAACGAATACGAATAGCAATCCACGAATACAATAACAAGTCAACAGTTGATGTATCATTTGTTATATTCAGTGAAACAATAACAACATAAATTATTTGTCATGGTTTGTTAATTATTAATATATTATACATTTATATACTGCACTTATCCATGAACTAGTATCTGCACAAATGCGACAATGACCAGTGACCACAATACTGTCAAATTAAATATTATGAGAGTGTTGTCTTTTGAAGACATCTATGCATATAATATGTTCTTGTGGATATTTTTAGGTACAGGGTATGTAAATGCACATGATTGCCTATTCATAAATATTTGATTCTAGTGGCCATGAATAACGTATTTAATTCATGAATGGATACGGTTTGAATCACCGAATACGTGAGTGAATCGTAACAGCCCTAATACATACACACTTTAAATAAAAATAGCCACACAAATCACAAACAAAGACACAATCCCCATAAAGTACGCAACATAATGATAAGAACCCGGCACATGTTCCATGGAACTAAACACAGCAAGTCATGCAGCCATTTGGTTCAGTCTGCATGTTTTACTGTGTTTGCTTTCACTGACAATGTGCTTTGCTCTTATCACTACGATGCATGCTTTGTGGGGATTGTGGGGATGACTAGTCCACAGCGTCATATGAAGTAATCATGGTAATTTGAGATAAGTGACAAATTAAATTATATTCAAATGATCCCATGCAGCTAAAGAACTTTCATTGGTTTTTTTCAATAATGAATTCAGTACAAAGAAAATAACTTGATCACATGAGTGTCACATGAATTATGGATACTATAAACATTTAAATATATTTTTAAGAATACTGGGAAGTCATGTTTTAATTAATTTTTATAATCCATTCTACAAAAAGAATTAAGAAACATGTTATTTAAGTGCATGTAGTTAACAAACTTAACACTAGAATGAATGCAACTCACATCTGATGCTTCTATAAAATAATGTAAACACTTACTTTCCATTCTTCATCCTGTATCATATGACATCAGTTATTATTATTATGTACAAGTTACATAACCAACTAGATTTACAAAGTCGGGACCAAACAGCTGCTCCCTGTTGTTTTATAGAAAATACATATGGAAAATGGCATTGTGTGCCTGTAACTATGCCAGACCATCAAAATGAAAACATGTTGACTCATTATCCAAACTGATTTCAAATTGATAAGACTGCAGGGATTTTTCGAGGATTCCAAACTAAGAACCCTTGCAGGTATATTGGGAAAGAATTGAACATTTTACAATAAATTGTATTTTTCTATACTTATCCTACATCAAACTATGCATTTCATTCTTTTTCTATGATCCTGGTGTGGAAACGATCCTAAAACAAGTTTCCAGTTAGAAAAAAACAGCCCACTCCAACAGATCCCAGGCATCAATCACCATCATAACCAATGGGTCGAACACTGCAAATCTCGTGTGCCTTGATCAAATGAAGTCCCCAGCTTACTCATTCACTTTTTTGAGCGGACAGGCTGGTATAACTGTGATGCAGGACCAAACATTGAAGCTTTAACTTTAATCAGTGAAATACTCTCTGCAAAACCTTTGGGAATTCTTTCTGATATTATCTGACTTGGGGCCAAGTACCGGCCTCTGAACAGGTCTAGAAAGGTCTCATAAACCCACCTTCATTTGTTTTTCCTCTATATCTGTTGCTGAAACAACTTCATCCTTTGCATGTTTATCCTCAGTTTCTAGGAATGTTGCGAGATCTACCCCTCGCTCTTCAAGCTCGTCGTAGGTTCCCACATCAAACACACTGCCCTGGAACCGCATCAACTTACAATTCAGCAACACACATAGCAGTGGCGAAGTGAATTTGATCACATGTGTATTCTGCTACAAGGAAGTTGTTAGGACAAAAACATAAAAAATAAATTATTTCCCCTAACTGACGCCCATGGTGAGTATTTTGTAGGACATGAGGACCTCTATTTAAGAAATAAAGTTTGCTCTACCCCCATGTACAGTGTAATAAAGTATAGTTTGGCCCTGAACTAGCATTACGTCTGAGTGTTTTGACGTCATAACAGTTCAGGGCCAAACTATACTTTATTACACTATAAATGGGGGTAGAGCAAACTTTATTACTTTCTAAGATTCCAAACTGAAGAATAATCTAATGAGAATTAGAATGGGCTTAAAAAGAAACCTGTAATAAGCAGTGCCCTCAACTGAAAATCCCCGAACAGGGCTAACTGACGGGGCGTTCCACCTAATTGCCTGTACCCTTACTTACAGAGACATATTTACGTTTTAAACACAATACAACACCACTTAAATTGGTTGATTATTATTGAAATAGGTCACACCTCATTACCCATTCAGTGGGTGGTTATCCAAAACCCCTTGCAGCAATAAGAAGACTTCTCAAATTTAAGTTTTTATATCAATTTGCTTCAAATTTATCATGTGACTTGAGACATTCCACAAGTGCATTGCGGTGCCAAGCTAACATGTAAACATAGCTGAAGTTCGGTGTCACTGGTTATTGTGAGTTGAGGTGTTTTCTGCTGCATAAGTTGCAACTTTGATTCCGCCACAAATGATAGCAGACTGCAACAACTTGAAGCCGTGAAATAGTGTGCTTACCGAGCTGGTTGCACTACATGATACCGCAACCCGTAAATGGATGTGAATCGACAGCGTGGGGCGTGATATGGCGTCGCTGTGGGACTAACATGGCCGAGGAAGAGCAATAGCAGAATAAATGCCATATGCTGAGCAACAGGTATGTATGTAGTTATGAAACTTTTCCAGGATTGCTCATTCCTTTGTCCTGAGAGAATAAGTTGGTAAGGCACCAAGGATAATTTTGTGACTGCTGTGGCACGGACAAGTGGTTTGAGAGATGGTAGATGGACACAGTGGCATGAGAGAAAGTGGACATTATCTTGTCATATTTCATCCCAGGCAATAATATTCAAATATGCATTTAGTCTAAAGAAACACTTTTACAAAAAATTGATGAGTTTGCGCCATTTTGCTTGACAGTAATGAAAAAAAGATGTTACCAAGCATATGTTAGAACATAGGGGAGGAAATTTGAACAGCGCCAAAACGTCCCAGGATAAAGTGCAGTCGGCAGCTTTGAAGCATCTTAGAATAGATTGAAATGGGGATAGTTTATGTCATTTACTGGTTTACTAGACCTGGCATGTATTGGAGATTCGGCCTATACTCTCCCAATTTCATTTTTACCTGGTGTCCACTGGAAGAAATACGGAATTTGGCAAAGCCAGTTTAACCTGAAGGATTTACCTCTCTCAATACAACGATTCTGTCAGCCCTCCTCAAGTACTGCAGCTGATGAGTCACCAAGACAACTGTCTTCTCCTTCAGTAGTTGCTTGATACATCTGGAACACAGACAATGTCTTAAAGCAATAATATAAGATCACTGATTGAAATGAGAGGCCCAATGATCGATATGAATATTCAGAGAGATAACTAGCCCTATTAGTATAAATACCTACTGGAGCTTGTGCTCTCGGACTTATAGAATACCAACTTTTAATATACTGCTTCCAATCAGACAACGTATGTGCAACTGAGATCCACCAAACCCCTCCCCCCACTTTTTGTTGGCCAATACCTGATGTTTCACATGCAGATCTGAACTAAAATGCATCAACTTCCTGGTTCCTTAACTTTCTTGTATCGTTACCATGGTTATATATGGGTTATGTATTTCATCCTTGCTGTATTGATGATTCCAACAATGATTTAATCAATCTGGTACAAATTGAATCATATTCATACTTCACATATTATTTATGTGCCAATCTCTTTCATTTATGCATATCAAGATTACCTATATTTCTGATTTGAGTATACACAGTGATAGTCATTGACGACATACTTGTTGAAGATGTGTCTTCCTACTTTGGTGTCCACAGCACTGAGGGGGTCGTCCAGCAGGTAGATGTCACAGTCCCGATACACAGATCTGTAAACACACATGGCCATATACCATTAAATGTTATGTACTGCAAGTAGTTGCTTCAGCTTGGAATATTCAACCCCAAGTCTGCAGCAATGGTCAGCAAAAATTCCCAAATGGGATTTCATGTAAATCATTATTTCAAAAGTAATAAGTTATTATTAATGTGATGCTGGCAGCCTGTAGTATTCATCATGTTCATATTGTCAAAACAGTTTTAGTTTGATGGACGTTTGAACTAGTTCTATTCTCTACTGCTTGATGTAACTTGTGTATGATGTGTCTTAATAACCACACCTTTGGCTAACTTTCTATACATCCATGACGGTAAATACAGACCATAGGATGATAATGGCATTTCCTAGAAACAAAGAGAAAGGTGAACAACTGATTCACCTGACATGATAACATTACCTTGCTAGGCTGAGCCTGGCTTTTTGACCTCCACTCAAGAAGAGCCCTCTTTCCCCAACCAGCGTCTCATCCCCATATTTCATCATGCCAATATCCTGATGTCAAAAACAAAATCACAAAATACAACATCCTCAAGTGAAATTTTGATTTAATATTTCAAAGTAGACACAATTTATGGATAACAACTTTTTTATTATACTGTAATAGCGACATGTCAGTATAACTGTATAGATCCTTATACTGCTCCAGCCTTCAAAATTCACAAGACTACTACATTGTGCTGAGGACAAATAAAAACTATGGAAGTCCTCATTGACTAGTAGCATTTAAGGGCTGTAATCCTGAACCAGTTCTCAATGTTTCAATTTTGCTACAAAATGGAACTGAATAAAACTGACAGAAAATGTAAACATAGAATACATATTTGTATTGTTCAATCAGGAATAGCTACAAACTCAGAGGTTTTGTCAAAAAAGGTTTACATTAGTCCTTTTGACTAGTCTTTAACAAAACAAATTTCTAAGACTGTACTAGGTGATTAATATGAGACCAGTGCAAAGTTAAAAGACATACATGGGTTCATAAACAACTTGACCCAAGTGTATTGTGTTGGATTTGACTTACAGTGTCTAACCATTATTATGCCTTAAGATTTAACCTGAAAGTGTTTGGGGCAAGCCTTATTTCTAATATATTTACCTTCTGAAGAGCACAGGCCTCAACTACTGTATCGTATCTTTTAAAATCATACTGGTCTCCAAACAAGATATTTTGTTTCACACTTCCAGAGAAAACCCAGGACTGCTGAGCTGCATATCCAACTGAACCATGTAGAGTTATCTGTCCTTGTTGATAGGGGAATTCCCCCAGCAATGCAAGTAGCAGTGACGTCTGCAACAGGTAAGTAAAGGATCAAAGACCAGTTCAAGGTTTGACATATTCACGGGTCCATGAGACGGATGCCTGTAACTTTTATCAGGAACAGGATTTGTGTGCATGGTCAACTGGCTAGTGGAATATATATAATATCAATCTTATTTTGTTTACCTTTAAAGAAAAATATAACATAAATTTGCAGAAGATCTGTGTGAGAAATATCTTTTGCTGTCATCTGAAAAGAATAGTTATATTTATACATGTATATCATTGATCCTATTGGCTACAGGACAGCATCAGTCATTTCTACTTGAGATTTCACAGTTTACTTCCCATTATTCCCATGTCAAAAGCCATGAGTAAGTGACTTGCAAAACTACCACGACAAATTTGTAGCTTCAATGTACAAGAGAATGACGTTCCATCACATAAAACAAATATTCTACCGGTAGAGAAAGTTGGTAGCTCTCCCATCAAAGACTCTTACCTTTCCAGAGCCCACAGTTCCCACTACAGCCATCAGCTCCCCCTGAAATATCCCAGATACTAGTAAAACATCATGGATGACTTACAATTGGGTCACACTAACTCATAACAGAAACATCCTAAACATGTAAAGTGACGATGTATTTGATAAAAATATCAGGTAATTATTCTCGTGACTATTCAGGTGCTGATGAGTACATATTAGATATGGATCGTACTTCAAACAACAGGTACAAATAATGTAAAAACTTCCATGGATCACAAACTACTGATTCATAGCTTACAAACAGACATAAATTAATTCATTAGTTCTTACACATGAGCTTCATAGTTGCAGACAAGCATTCAACTTCAACCCATGATGTAGAATTTTAAACTGAAACACACTAACCTTTTTTATATTCAGTGCTATTGACTTGAGGGCAAAATAGTGTTCAATTTCACTCTGAAATATGATAAGGTTATAGTATAATAAGATATGATAGGTATGATCTTGTAAACAATGGTAAAGTTCATACAATTGCAGATCATATACCTTTCAAGAAGTATCCATTATTAATACTTCACATGCCAACCCCACTCAGACACAGTATGCTGCCTCTGAGATGACCAGTCCTTGGTTTATCCCCTTACTGCTCAGCACCAGGCAGGTAACAAGAACCATCATTTAACATATTTTGGTATGATGCACCAAGCAGGGTTTGACAAATGTCTTATCTACACACTAGCCCACTTGTCCAGTAAGAAATAAAAACTACTGGCCCAGATGTTAAGTTTCAAGTCCAACAGATATACAGAAATTTAAGAGCGCAAACACTTGTCAATATAGTTAAAGTCATTTCATTCATGACTTTACTGACTGTTTGTTTCATGCACTTCTAACCATGGAAATTTGAGCTTCCACGACTGTTCGAATGTCCTTCCCCTCTTTCTTGCACTTTGTGTTGGTTCACAGGGCTTTAAAAAATTCCACGAAGCGGTTCCGGCCATTACAGAATACCGTTATGTGAAGCATAGAAAGTAGCATTAATTTGATTGGTCACATTAATCACTTCCTGTTTGCTACGATGGAATTTATTGGTTATTAACAACTGGTCTCTCACTTTCCTCTGTAGAGTTGTTATCATAGCAGGTGCATGCCACACGGACATAAATAGCCAGTTTACAGATATTTTATACATCGTGTTACCATCTCAGTAAGGGAGGTAACTAAGACTGGTAATTGGCAGAGACAAGTTGACGGCTTTTGTTGACTGAATGAAAGATCGAGTGAGTTTTAACCTGACTTAACACGATTGGTACACCATATTATTTCAATAGCCAGCTGGTACAGTATAAATATAAAATTACTGGCCCAGATCAAGTTTCACTAGCATTTGTCTAGTTGGCCGGCGTATTTGTCGAACCCTACCCAGAGGATAGAACCACCAACCTTCCACTTTCTCCTATTTTTAACTACACATAGAACATGTAGACAATAAAATCACTTTCATGTGATTGCCCCGTCAGAAATCTGCCACTAAGTCTAAGCACCTCATGATGAAGAGGTAACTACAGCCATAACTATTCTGAAAACCCATTATTCATAATCGATAAATAAAGTGTGTTGCGCTATATTCACATAATAAGAAATGTCTCAGTCCTCACCTCATGCAGGAGTTTACTGGTCTCACTGGTGCTGTCTCTCTTCTTCATCTTCTCCCTGTTCTTCTTCCTCAGCTCCACCCCACTCATCTCCCACCTGGCTGTCACATAATCTATCACCACGGCAACATCCGACTGTGTGTGTGTCCGATGCTGCACATGTTTGTGAAGAATGCCTCCATGTGTGAGGTCTTTCTCTTCATCCAGCAGCAGGAACTTCTGCAGGAAAGTGGCAGAAACAAAGGGTGTAAAGTAAAATGTTATCAATTGTCACTGAGGAGACAGACATCTTATTTATTATATACAAGAGCTGGACGGAGGTTCTGAAAATTTATTTTTGATATTCATGATATTTGAGATAACAATTTTGAAAATTTTATAATGAATTGTTTATTTAAAATACTTATCCTATCTCACAATTTGCATTATATCCTTCTCGATCTTGGTGTGGAAAACAAGTTTCAAGCTTAAAAAAACATCTTACCCAAACAAATACCATCCGTAAGCATGGTTACCATCACTACCAACACTCCGTGCCATGCATGAACCCCTTGGTGCCTGATCACATGACATGTGATGGTTAGGTGGGCGTTCTGCATGTTAGATAGGACAAGTATAACAAATATACAACAAGTAAAACTTATCCTATCTCACACTACGCATTTATCCCACGGTTTGAAGATGGGGCGCAGACACCCAAGATAACAAGGCGCACCTGTACGGCCACGACTTATAACCTACCCCGGGTACGAAAGAGAGCGAATCATCCCTGGCACGGCCCGGGAGGTTCTGCAAGACTGCCCCTCCACATACATCCCATGGGACATAAGGAGAAACAGCTTGGCATTTCTTTTTTCACTTCGTTAAGGCTATCAACAACAACCAGTGATTTAGTATGCTAGAACAAGAAGAGGAAAACATCCATACAGGTCTTCAAACCAACTCCTGAGTGTAACATTATCTGTTGACAGAGTTTTGCAGGTAGACGGTTTTGGACACCGTCAAAACTGCCATGCCTTTGATGACTTCGATGTGGAAGACTCAAAGTTTCTACAAACGAATATTTCTTTCCTCCATTAGTATTCAAGAACCCAAACTGTAGACATAAACAAACAAGTCTAACAGACTGAAGTATTTGTTTCTGTATGTACAAGATATGACAAGCAATCACAACGAATATCTGGGTTCAAGCTATTGTCATATGTGCTGACACACTGCTGTCAGTTGTTGAGCCAGTACAAGGGGTCCTAGACCGAAATGTCTCTCAGGTAGTGTGAGGCAAACACTGTGTCCGACTTCCTAAAACAACCTTCCATTGTAGCTGATAACATACAGTTGCTATGTAGTGACAAAGTCGCCGTCACTGCCCTTGTCTCAAGCGGGTTGGGAGGACCCTGGAGGCAGTAATCATGCAAATGTGTAGGCTTGTAAGATGACTAATGTGTAGCCAAAAAGACACTGTGGTCCTGGATACTGCTGTAGTCACAGATGTCAACAAGGGGAGAAACAATCCTCAATGTGAGTGCCGTAGATTTTCTGAAGCTTGAAGGTAGATCCGTAAATCTCCCACTGGGCAAAGCAAGAGATCTTCTAGATCTTCAGTGCCTAATATAGAGGAGAGGAGAGGAGTGGTGAATAACATGTCTGCATGTCCAGGGAATTGGTTCTTTGCTACAAGGTCCCATCTCAGGCCCAAGAAGATGGCGCCATGGCGCTGTCTCTCAAAGTGAATATGTTGACATCACGTGTTTGGATCTCAATGACACGTGCTGCTGTAGTTAATGCCAAGTGGAAGACTGTCTTGAGTGTGATAATCTCTATGTCTTTATCAGCCAAACGTTCGTAAAATTCAAATGACAGATGGTGTTCAGATTCCAAGCGTGGGTGACTGGTCCACAAGTCTATATGATCTAATCCAGGATTGAAGTTCTGATACAGTGGAAATATTCATACCTGTGGTCATGGCAATCACCGAGTTGATAGCGGCTAAGCAAGTAGCAAATGTAGATCCTTTCAGCTTCCTGTTAAGGCAGTAACCTTTCAGTGCCATCCAATTGTGATCATAGATCATAGAGAGCCTTTGGATATTTTAACTTTCATTTGCAACTTATTTGCAATGAAGCCAGGTCCATAAATTGAGGGGGTTTATGGAGGAAGCCATCAGATTTTAACAAATTATTGGTCACTAAAATTCGGGGAAATTGGGGGATCCGAGGAAGATTCTCACCCCTGCTTTGTGGAGGTAAGATCGAGCCACTCTTCAAGAATAACCTTTTGCAATCAAAGATGTCTGAAGTGAGTCAGACACAAAGATCGAGCAATCAGTTATGGATGTACCCCGGTAGTTGGCTTGATAGTGCTTGAAGTAGTAGGTCTGTTTGTAGAGGTAGACAATGATGTCTGTGACATGCAATGTTTTACGAGTACAGTGAATCAAGTTCTCACTGGCCATAAGCATGAAAAGGGCACAGCCAAAAGTAGATGAAGATCCTCCCATTTCAACGACAGCGAAGAACAACAACTCTCTGCCAAAGCCAGAGAGCCCCTCTCCGATTCTTCAGAATGCCTTGTCTGATTCTCTGCTCAAATGTCCGATGAGGGTAGCATTGAAGACAGTAGTGATCAATAGTGGTGACTGAATTGTAGCAGTCTTGGTACAATCAGCGACAATAGATCTTGGCCGACGGACGAAAACTTTAGGGAGATAAACTGCAAGGAAGGAGTCCAATCCATTTTCTTTATCTAATACAAGCACAGATGTTCAGTGTTCGGACGATATAGAAGGAGAGGTGTCAGATCTAACCTTCGTAAGCATAGTCCTCTTAGGTTTCTTGGTGTCTATCACTGAATGTCTATCATTGTCACGTTTATCACTACGAAGTAAAGTCTGCATCCCTCTGACATCGCAAAATGATCACAGCAAGTCATGTGTGCGTTTCTTGCTATCCACGTTAACCTCACTCAGCTGACTTTATTCAGAAAATGAACACAAAATGTAATTCCCCTCAAATAAAAACCCCCATCTCCACACAGGAGCAATGAGGAAGAGAGTGAGTAAACATGGTAAAAGATTCATGCATTGTTCACCATGGTACAGCTGGGATGTGTTTGGGTGAGGTGCTTTGTGAAACTGAAAACTTGTTTGGGGATTGTTTCCAAACCAGGATAGAAGAAGAAGGATGAAATTTTTACTAGACTTGGGCTTTGTGCTAGTGGCTAAAGTTGCAGACTGACAATCTATCACAAACATGAGGAAATATTTTATGAATTATGTATGATAACACAATTGTTCATACTTTGGGGGTTAAAACATGACTTCAAACACAGGATAAAACACACCTTCACATATGGAAGTCTAATAATACCTGTATTCTCTGCATGGAGGCCGATAGCTGAGAGAGGGTCTCAACACTGTAGGTAAGAAAGAAGAATGCAGACATCTTGAGGATCTCCAGCAGGCCCAGTGTGACGAACACTGAACTGGTTGATATTGGGTGAGAGAGAAACAACCAGTTTCCAACAAAGATAAACAAAGCCATTACTCGTGTGATGTAGAATAAGATCGATAAAGTTAAAGCTTTGACCAGGAAAGAAAGCTTCAGGAACGACACCTCTTTTCTGAAACAGAAGGAATCAAAGACATCATGACATCATCACTAAAAGATCCATTATTAATGCATTTAGTTATATATATTCAGTAAGCATAAACATGATAACCAACATCAGATGTTCCCGTTAAATACACAGAGAAATATTTCATAATATACAGTGATAAGTACCATGAATGAATTAAGTACAGTCACGTTAATCCGACACTTGTTAATCCGGCAACTGGCTTAATCCGACACTAATAATGGGAACCGATTACATCAGTGCTAGTTAGACCCATTAATCCGACAATCTCGCACTCTGCAACGAATTACCAAAACCATTCACTTATCATTCTCATTAATCTGACAGTGATCAGCGTACTTCGTGGTCATCTCCCCACTGAGTACAAAGCCCCGTGTTTTGAAGAAAAACAAGTTGGCTAGTAGCTGCATATTACAACGGATGCGGAGATAAACTTTTTTAACAATAAACAGTTAATGCTTTAAATAAACAAAACAGGATTAAACACATGTTAAGATTACCTAAAGCTCCTTAAAATCAAATATAGGACATACCATTACAGGTCACGTCAGAACGACCTTTCACAAACTTTGACCGACCAATGAAATGACTAACAGGAAGTTTACATTAGCCACTAAGAAAATTGCTTTCTTGAGCATTGCAGCACTTGTTTAAAACTGTTGACTTCCATTCAAGACTACGCTCTCTAAAGCTTTTTGAATCAGTCATACAATCGCATAACAGTAGTCGGAATACCCTGTGTTAACTTTTAAGGTTGCATGATTAGAAAACATATTCTGCAAACAATGTAAAATAACAACATGAATATTTGGGTTTTAATTATTTTATTACAATACACATAAATCGTTATCTATCGTGTAGTGGTCAAAGTTTTGATCACAAACATCGATACGCCATTATTTGTTTTATCTGACATACTTGTTAATATAATCATATGCAACCAACCATGTCAGATTAACGGGATTTGTCTGTATATTGTTATAGAATATGCCATTCATTGCAGCTCAAATATTTAAAACATCAAAAATACATACAAAGAAGCATTCAGTTAAAAAAAATTATTTGGTTCATGTGAGCCAAGAAAAGGATTCACGTGAATAAGAGATTTTGTGCTAAACCTAACATGCAATAAAAGAATGTGTTAACAATTTGGCTTGCTCAGCTATTGGCTACAATCCCTTCAAATTCTGTATTTTTGTTTTTTCTTTTATGATGGAAACAGCAATATTCCAGCAATATCCTGGAACAGACAATTGATTTGAGCAGTGATCCACGCCATCGGGGTATGATGACACGTTATCAACCCAAGTCACCATGCCACCAACCACCTGATCCATAAGTCGCCCCTGTTACGACCAGCATAGGGTCAATTCTAACCTAGAATCCTGATGGGCTCAAATACAGAAAGATGTCTTACTGTCGTAGTTTGTTGATGAGATGACCAAATGGTTTCTCCCAGCAATACATCTTGATGACTCTTATCCCAGACACAATCTCCGTCATGGTATGGATACGCTCATCTCCACAAGCAGCAGTCTTCATTCTGGTGTCAACATAAGATCCCAGTTACAACACATTCTCATGAACATCTGACAATTACTTTTAACCATCTTTGATGATATCTAATGTGTCTGTCACAGCACTTCAAGGCAAGCTCTTTGTCACACAACTGAATTGCTGGATACCATGATCATGAAGCCACACACTTAGCTATATATTTACTTATTTTCAGCCATTTTTTACCATTAGACGTGGTAGACACACCCCCTTATTGTAAGATGTCTGGATGTTCAACATCTGCTAAGAGTCAAGTAGTAATATAGAAGAACTAGAATATCACAGTTTAAAGAAGACTGATTGAGTGCGTTTGGACATACACATAAGTGGCTTTAAACAGGATTTGTTATATTACGGCATGATGTGGGAGGAGAGACGTTTACCACTTCAGTGAAACCAATGTGCTACAAGCCTAGAAACATAGATAGGGCAAATCAACGATTCACATGTTTCTGGCATGCCTACAGCCAGCTAAAATAGCAGAGTGCCTCTTATTATTTTAAGTCAGTTGCCTGGTCGACCAGTCAATGCTCACAAGTATGTGTTCACAATATACTGAGTATTAGTATCTGTCATTCAACAAATAAACATTCTGTGCAAGGACAAATTTATTGATTCATTCATCATGTTCATAGCCCCATGCTAGCTAGTGAGTTTTTCAAGGATCAGTTCTTCCAAAATCCAGGGTTTCAGATCAGTACATTTTCTTGACTGATTGTCATCCAAACTATCCTAAAGAGACTTTTGATAATGGTAAATAAGAATGTCTGTGAAACGTCAATTAAATCATGAAAATGTCGAAGAGTACCCGGCTCCAGCAAGATCATGGAACACCAATTGTTCTTTCAAACCCCAGGAAGTACCAGTGTGTCATGTAAGCTGGTAGTGCAGATCAAGGAGGGAAACAGGTTCACGACAGGTTGAATATTGCACATGCATTCTCGTTATTCATGCCAATACTGAACATACCTCAATACACCAAAGAGCTTCCCCGAACCAATCTGTGACGGTAAAAATATAAGAACAGGCAGGAGACCGAAGACACTGGCCACGCCCACTTCCCTGTACATCAGGTACATTACGACACATATGACGAAGGGAGACAACCATAAGTAGTGTATGTTTTCTATACACTGAAAGCAGAAAAACAGAAATTAGAAATCCCCTTCAGAAAATACATAGCATAGATAAACATAAATATACTCACTGATAAATATAGAACAAATTTGTAAATTTTACAATAAATTGTATATATAATAATTATCGTATCTCACACTATGCATATCATGGACCATCCTCTGCTAAGAAGACTAAGAGGACTACGTTAAAAGTGGCAAGACCACACTCCTCTACGTCTCCATTGGGACAGTCGTCAAGTGTGTCTGCAATCTCGTTAGATGAGGGATCAAACTATTTTCTAGCTGCCGATCTTACTAAAGATTTGCTCGGCGTGCCCAAATCGGTAGTGGTTGCTGTTGACAAGAGATCTACAGTTACATCTTCAAAGGATCGTTGGCAGGTTCACCAGAGGGATTTGTCCGTCCTGGTTACAGATCTTACTTCATCGGGGGTTTGTTCAGACCATCAGACGAAGAGTTGAGAGGACTCAGAGAGAGTTTCTCGTGGATCGGCAGGGAGCCATCGATCATCACATTCATCAAACTGGGGGACGATTGCCCAATGTAAACGTAGAGGAGCCTGACCTTGCCATCTTTAGTCATTTAAGTCTTCTTAGCAGATGATGGTCCATGTTCTTCCGAGGCTGACTTTGAACGCCTGTCACTATGTCATCTTTCACACTTGCGTTAGTACAGAAGAGGACGTAACGTGTGCGTACAGAAGAAGTCGTAACGTGGTCGTGAGATGTGTCCCCTGTTATGCATACAAGTGACTACCTGAGAGGGTACATAAGTACAGTTAGGTAGTAAATTCAGCTTCTGATAGGTCATTAAATTTACTGCTAAACAATGACAAAGGCCTTGACAATCGCAACAACTAGAGTGTGGACCCTCTGCAGAAAATGTTCTCTTGCACTTATCACACACTTTCCGTTTCTTGCCATCCATGTTAAACCCATTATACATGTTATAAGCTGAATTACTAAAATTAAAAATTATCTTTCTCCGCCAGACAGAAACGTCTCCACACAAGAGGTATTAGAAAGAGAATGAGTTGGCTGGGGACGTCACATGATCGGAGAGCGCAAGATTCACGTTTTGGAAATGATGGTAACCCGTTACGGTTGGGATGTGTTGGGATGGGGTGTTTTTTAAGCAGGAAACATGAACTAGGAACGTCTCTACACCTGGATCGAAAGAGAAGGGAGAAGTGCATCGTGGGAGATAGGATAAGTATTAAAAATACATATAACTTATAAGGTATATGGATAGCAACTTCTTGGGGTTGTCAGTTATGAATGGTCATGTTTTGGTGTATTTTCATAAAATGGCCTGTGTCAAGTCAAGCGTCAACAGCTACTTACACATGGTGATACTACTACATTGCTGAACATAAACCAAGAAGTGGATTGATATGTCCATATTGTGTACACACACATTTAATATGCCAATCAGCATGACTTAAAAACAGTACTCACTGACTCTAATGTATTTAGTAATAAACAAAACTAAGAGAGTTTCAAAGACTAACTAAATTAACTTTTGATGGATTGTTTCCATGATCTTATTAATAATAATAATAATATTGTAATCTTATTTAACATGTTACACATGTTAAAAGGGCTTTTCATTAATATTTGATGCAATCATAATGAAGTAAATGCTTACATTGTTGAACATCTCGACATCAGTGGAGAGAAAATTTACTATTTGTCCAGAGGTGGTCTGGTAAAAGGACTGGCAGCTTAAAGTGAGGACCTGCAAAAACGTGATGATATGTTCAGTGTTAATGTTCATGTTAGTTAACACAGATTGTTTGCATGTTTATTAGTTTGTTGCTAAACGTTGTACTCAGCAATATTACAGCTATATGACAGCCTTTCTCTAAATAATAAAGCCTGGACAAGACAATCCAGTGATTGACATCATGAGCATAAATCCTGATCCGGTTAGTCACCTCTTATGACGAGCATAGGCTGCCGAAGACGAATTCTTGCATGGGATTAACATTTAATGTGCACAGGAACATCAAGTCCTATAATGTTGTTCACAAGCTCAACAAGAAGGAATGTTCTTGAGTTCTTGACGCTTTCTGTTAAAGCACTTCAATCTAGGTGTCACATCTTAATTTTTAAAACTGGTATGTATGAGAAAGGTACTCAGCTACCAGTATGATGGTACTCAGGTACCAGTATCCATATCGCACAATGTTAAAAGAACAAAAGTGAAGTTGAACTTATGAGGCTAATTTGCATTGGCACTAACTTTGACATCAGACAACTGCTCACAAACAAAAATAAAGTCCTCATGGTCATGTGGTTATGTACTTGATGTAGCTCAACTCAGTTCTAAGGAAACTGGATCAAAACCAAAACATCATATCAGAGTAACACATGTCACAACATGGGAAGCAATTTACTGATTGTGTGATCATGGTATTTGATTCATAACACAGATTGTGTCCATGTGAGGAAGGCAACCCAGATCACGGGCATGACAAATCAATGTTTTAACCACTAGACTACCCTACTGCCCCAGATACACTAAGAACTTCTACTTACAAAAGAGGCATAAGTAACCAATTGTCTATGACATCAAAATTCACAGAGAAGAGAGTTGTGCCCCTTAGGCATGCCAGAAACCTAAGATCATGGGTTCAAAATCCTTGTTCACCCTGATTATCTTTTAAGGTTTATTAGTGGTAAAAGTCTTATACCTGGATAATTTGCATAGCTGTCCTACCACATCAAGTCAACAAATTGTAATAGAACGGAAGTACTGTTCAAAACAGCACAAAACCAAACTCATTCACTCAATTGACAAAGAGTACACAATTACCTTCTTGTACACCAGGCCAGCAACAGCAACCTTCATTTTCATGGCAGTGTGCTGCATGTTGTAGAAGTACTGGGTGTTCAGAGCTGTCTGTATGAAGTTAACAAGCCCTAGAGCTGCCGCAAAAATATAAGCATAGTAGGAGGGCAAAGTCGGGTTTGGGCTGAAGAACAAGATGACCTGGCCAATCAACAAAGGCTGCGTAATCTTTAAGGTCTCCTGCAAGCAAAATGAAACAGCATTTTATTCAAATATGTTGAAACAAATATGCTTTATTACTCAAAAATAGAGCCAAACGGTTCTGAAGTTGTTGAATATTTGTGATAAATAATAGATTCCAGGCTCTCATTCAAGGCATGCTGAATTTGTAACATTAGTTACAACACACTGTCCCACATGCATACCTTATTAATTACCTGATTAGACAAATTAAATTTTCAACACTGCAGTAGTGACGCTATTACTGGGACATCACATTAGGCATACCGGTATTTAAATACTGTATTCGATGTAATAAGCACTCCACTCTAATAAGCACCCACGGCGATATTTGCTAATATATTGGTTAGTGAACAATCCCAATTAGCACCCTTCCGATTAATCAATGTACACACACAAGACATTTATTATTTATTCGTGTATACTACTCACTCATGTGTTATATGCACCCTTTGTTACTGGCAATTAAATTCTGGAAAAATATATCTGTCATGTATCATTCACACAGACATTTTTTTGGTATCATTTCAGGCTGTCACTAGTGTCTTTGACAAAAATTATATTCTGAGCCACATATTTCTAATTTTGAGAGCGCCCTGGGCCGTTATTACATCGAATACGGTAATAATATCTATTCTTATTATACTTATAGGTTAAAAAATGCAAGGTTGCAGTTACTACAAATATTCAAAGGATGTGTGGCAATACATTTTGTATTCAAATCTGCAAAGAGAAAGTATTTTAAGTTTTGGGGAGAACAGAGAGCTTGGAATTTGGCACTTTTCCACACACGACTACATACTTCCGCTCGGTTTCATAACATTTCTCCATCTCGCAAATAAAACTGTCAATATTTTGGTGATTAACAGACATTAATCAAATTTAGATGACTTGTACATGTGTAGAAATGAAGATCTATCAATCTATGGCCAGAAAAGTGCTTGTCAATAAGCATATCATAAAGAAACTGACCTGGATATTGAATGTAAACAAACCAACAAGTTGGCGAGTGATGCTCCTTTTCTCTACTTAGATATAGGGGTACATATTTTTATTTACCGACCAATGATGAGTTCCTGTGGGGAAAGACTTACAGGGCAAATATAGACTTAGAAATAGCTGAGTAATCAGTCTGTTCATCTGATAATGGCAAAAAAGAGGGGTATTTTTTTCAAATATGGCCGACATGGCGGTACAAAATTCATTGGTGGGAACAAGTACTTGAGGTTTCAGTTTCATCATGTTCATTGGTCCAGTGGTTTCTAACTAAAATGTTACAATTCAAATCACATGGACTACCACATTAAAATGCCAATCAAACAGTCACATAAGATCGGTCAGGAAGATTGAAGCAAGATTACTGGACCCAGGTAGTGTATTTAGGGATCCTTCCTATCCTACTGAGTGCACTCTTCTCTTCCAAACCAAGGTGCATCAAAAATACTAAAGCAGGCTGTCTATGACAGTCTTTGAATATGAGTCGTTATGGATGCATTTACAAAACAATGGCCTTGAATGCTTGAAATATAATACAAATTAAGAAAGAATAGGTTAGATGACACCAACTAGGAGAAGCAAAACATCATTGAATAATTGCCTGTTTGTGGATAATGTTTGTTTGGTTTGGAACTAAAAGATGTTAACAATTGGGCAACAATCTTTGGTTATACAAATCCACAGATTTTGATATTTCGAGTATCTACATATCCTGTTCATATCCTGAAAATGGATGAGAATAGTCATGAGAACCCGAAGAGAACTTACCAGAAAGACAAGAGAGATCCCTGGAAGCAGCAATCTAAGTTTAAAGGCCCTGAACACAGTCTTGAACAAGCTGACATTTTTTCCATCAGCTAACTTCTGTATTTCATCCTTCCAACACCTGAAACAGAATTGTTTATATTGCTACTGAATAATAACAAAACAAATCAATTTCTATGCCCAACCTGAATACTAATAGCCAAAGGGCTAACTTAGACTAAAAACTTAGACTAACTAAGAAATAACATTCATGATCAGCACTGTTGACTTCAATACTGTGGTAACCATGGGCAGCTTGATTTGGCCAGCAGTCAATTCTTTCTCGTGATGAGCAATCATAAGACCATGTACTACTCTACAATGAATAAACTTTCAGAAAATACTAAAATTATGTTTCTAAAGAATATACCATGATATACACATGGGAGAAATTCGCTGTCAAAACCTGGCTAATGTTGCTCAAATAATGCACCTTTTCTCTAAATTTGACCATTTTGTTTTCTTTTTACATTTTCTTTCACGTCATTCAATAACTGATATAACTGTCAATACCTGTAATTAATTTAGTTTTTAAAATGACACTTGTAAACACATATTTGTGCTACATGCAGAATTCCATTATCTGTAGACAGGCAATCACGTGTATAAGGCCCATCTCGTGTACATTACGTCCTCTACTGATGGAGACAGACACATGATATTATGAGCAGGATTCAACAAATATACCTTCCACCTAGACAAACACCAATCAACATTAATCAGGGCAAGTATCAAGTTCAAGTAATCGTAAAATCTGGTGGTCAGAATGGCTGGTTGAAAGTATTACATAATGCTTATCTCCATAATTTGATTTGCAGAAAGAAAGCAGTGTTCCAAGTTGAGCATAAAAGTCAAGACGTCCTTGTCAACTCTAATGTAATATTTATGAGGTCCGTGTACTGCAATACTACATGAGCAAGCCTTAATGGCCCCAGGAACCCCTTCCAACACTGAGAAGGATAGAAATTGTTGAGAATATTTGATAAAGACTAATCTGATATTTTCAAGTTGTTGAGCAAAGTTTCTGTTGGACCAGATACCTATTGTGCATCTAAGAGTAAGAAACATATACTAAAATCAGATCACTATACAGTGCACATACCCCTCCATTGTCCGTACAACCTGACTGGCCTCGTCTTCTTGGCAGACATCATAAACATCAGATATGTCCAGATCTTTCTTGTAGCCTTTTCGGAACAGACCTGATATCCACCTTAAATAATGCCATGTATTAAATATAATTCATGATGACATCAAGTACATGTATTGTTCAGCTGTTTATTTATGAAAATCATAGTGTATATAATGTTGTTGTGTGTTACTGTTGTTTAACTCAACATTTTGGCTATATTACGTCATCCTACATATATTCGAGTCTGGACCTGACAATCCACTTATCCAGCAAGTTATATAATGAGCAATAATCCACACCATCAGGGTACACTGACCCCCTATCAACCCAGACACTGAGTCTGACCACCCGATACATCTAGTCACCTCTGACAACCAGCATCGGTTGCTAAGGACCAATTCTAAACCGTAACCCCAATTGGTTGTACAGCATTTTTAGGGTTAATGTAACACTAATTATGGCCAGGTAATTATAACCTCAACCAAAGGGAACCTGAGGCGCAACAAATCACAAGTACCTCTCTTACACCTCTACAAGCAACCTCTATATCTCCAGGGCTTGCCTTTCAGTAAACCTACAATAACCCCTGGATCCATTCCTGTGGTTCTTGCGATCTCAATTAATACTGACAATTTACCAACCAATCAAACATCGAGATTGGGAAAAAGGAGATTGGTAAGGGAGGTGGACATAAAGACATCCTTTCCATCAAAAGATTTTTTAGGGCTTCTTCTGTGTGTAAGTAAGTTTTTCAATATTGAATATTCTCGAAAACTCTATTGTAATAAATGGGACTAGCCGCCATGTTGTTGATATCGCCAACCCAACATTGAGGCTGGTTTGTAACTTGCATTCTGATTGGTCTGTTAGACTGAACAGTGCAGCAAATCATATTGACTGATGAAAATCATGGGCGGGTAATTTGAGATCATGTGAACAACGGAAATAGATCCAGGGGTATGTTTTCCGAAATCTGAGGATGCCCTACAAGTAGTATTACTAACACTAAAAGATGGCTGACATTAGGATCTGGGGGCCATCATTGATGTAGAGTATCATATGTACAGGGATAGATTTAACAACAAATTTTATGTAGCCAGCAAGGCTTTCTCCTTTGTAAAGTTACAGGCCCTTCTCCAAACTAACTGCCTACAACTAAATGGTGGAGGCTGCGAAGTGGTCGAACCTGAGGTCGCATAGCCATCTAGTTGGCCCTGAATATTTCATGTATTTAGACCTCGTCACCCCTGAGATGACTTTTCCTGCACTATTGAGATTACATCTTGGCTTCCATTCGACTGAGTCTGTGGTGATTTATGAGCGAATAAGGATGTTGTTGTACACAACATTACAAAATGGAGGCCGGTTGTCATTCTACCAAGATGATCGACATACAGGTACACATGATATATCTTTCTATGAGTTGACTATTCACACGACCTCATCCCCCCTAAATATTTTCTCATTGAAATTACATGATTAACGGGCAGGGATCAATTAAAATCAATTTACATACATGGTGAAGGGGTGAAATTTTGACTAGCCAGAAGGGCCATCTACATTACGTTTCAGCAAGCCCTGTTTAATGATTGTAAGGATAGTATGAGTATGCCCAATTAGAGAAATGTGGTGCATAAATAAAACACAAAATTCACAAATCATGATAATGCTTATAACACTGTATAAGTTAACTGGTAAATATGTGAAATAAGGGTATAATTTCTTATATACACTTGTGTTCACAAAAGATATGGATTATATTTCAGAAAGTAAACATGGTGCTGGTAAAGATTCTATGTTCAATTCCTATTACATCCCAGGAACAAACAAAAACATGAAAACATGTTAAGACTAAATAATAATTAACATGGTTAATCATAACAATAAACACGATAAAAAGATGTATAGAAACGTATCGAAGGCTAGGGTGTAACAAACAAGTTCTGAAACAGTCTGTGACAAAAGCTTTGGAGTCTACCAGCATGACTAGCCTGAACTTGGCTCTCTGCATCATCTTCAGAAGACTTTACGTTATTATATGGCCTATTATTGACTGATGTTATAAGACCACCCCCAGAACTATACTTGTATCTGTGCGGGCTAGAAGATAAAGTGCAGACTTGCAGCCAAGTGTGGGATCTGGAATTTAGAACCAAGCAATAGTATTTATAACCAATACCATCACATCTTCAACCTAAAACCTCCCACTTCACTTTCAGAATAACTGTAAATGTATTGGAATACAAATGTTCACTGACTGGCAAACTGCACTTAGTAACTGCATTACAGGGCTATCATCATGATCATGGCTATGTGTTCATGCCTTATTCAAGCTGTGAACAGTTGACCTGTCATGTTTCACAATTAGAACACTGTGACCAGAATCAGACATTATTATTAGCATAATTAGCAACACCCTTCTGTGAACTGACCAGTTTTAACTGTTGTACCGATTCTCAGATGACCAGCATGATCAGAGGTGCAATACTTTCTGTCATTGGTCATGTTGATCCGATGACAGGTCACAAAATATATCCATGATCAACACAATTTGTTTGATTTAAATAAAATTGAATTTAATGTTGGCCTACACATGATGCATGTGTTCAATAGTTACCTTGATTAGGTCAAATAAATACCTTGCAGCAAGAATCCTAGACATGGCTAGAAGATAACGTTTAATCACAATAACTGGCCAGTTTCACTTGAAGAACATTTTAGCATGTTTTGAGTGATTTCCATTTTATCCCTATGTCCACATTGTATGCTTGTCGTAAGACTAAAGTGTGATCTGCTGGTGACATTTTTTAAGTAATGTTTTGCTGGGTCCTCCCAAATTGCCTGGCTGCAGTGACATGTTGGTATACCGTATTCGCCATATAAGGTGCCCTGGACGCTTATTTCAAACTATACCATGTATACAAAACACGCTGAGTTGGTTGAGTGAGATAGAACAGTGTACATTGTGACCAGATTTAGTTCAAAAGGCAAACAGCAATGAAAATAAAACGTTTTTTATAATAGCTACTAAGAAATCACATTCCCTGTCTACCATGTCTATCTACACTGCTGTTTTCTGTGAGGAATCCATTATATACACAAGAAAATACAGCGGTGCATGTAAGTGTTCCATCTTAGTAGGGTGTGCCTACAGTTACAAAGTCAACACTTACCATGCTTACTATCCTTACAAATTGGTCTAAAACTAAAAGATGGTGAGGGAGCGCTTATTGGGGCAGTCCACTTAATACAGGACATATGGCAGCTAAACTAACACTGATATTGTCATACATAAACGCATACACTTACTTATCAACTAAACATGTTATTCAGCAATTGAATTAACAACAAAAAGTTAAGCTTCTGCACACCTTTCACCAACATGTCCTTAGCAACCTATTTTGTAGCATTGTACACATCTGGCCATGTGTTAACATAATGATGATAGCAGCTAAGGGTGACAGATGGCCACGATGTCCATGATGTAGATCCCTTATCTGACAGCAGTTCTAGGCTGGTATTCATCATATTCAGCATGAATACTTCAATAAGTAAGATCAGCTTCAAACTGAACATTGCATAAACGTTTCCTTAACTGTCAACACATAGTCAAATACAGAAGGATTGGAATCAGAAAGTTCCACCGAGAACACTTTACAACATTATATAACATGATATTGTAGTACAGACTTACTCAGCCAGTGCTGGCAATTTAGTGAAAAACAGATAATGTATTATTAACATATTAACACATCAAATCATCATCAAGGTGATGAAGTTGCCAATGCTCTTTCGGTACACCAGATGGCAAGCCTTGTTAAGTGCAATTCCGAATGCCATGTGTGAAATGTGTTTCTGGTACGCAGAAGACTATTAAAATTTAAATGTTGAAATCTTTTTAAATAAAATATTTAGCCCCAAGCCTATGATCATGCCTTCCTTGTGAAAACCCAGAGTAATTTCCATGTACCACATGTGTTCACAATATGACTCTAGAGGTCTCAAATTGGATGCTAAGACAAATAAAGTGGTATGCAGATTGAGAGAGTGTGTCAGGTATTTTTCTCAGCCCCCTTTAAAGAATGATACCATTGAGATACATACTGTTTGAGTTTAACTGAACTTCATTGCTACCATTAACAAAACCTACATGATGCTGGTGACTAAGTTCCTCAGTTATTTCAGACATGCCTCATCATGTTAATAAATAGTTTGGAAGAAAATTCAAGAAATGTCGAGTCACTTTCATAGCTGCACATGTCAGTGACAGCTGTCATACACATTAATGTTTTTGTCCTAACTTGCAGTTCTTACTTGGGCACAGAACAAAAACGACAAAAAACATTACAATGTACATGATCTGAGACAGAACAGCAACTGGCATATGTGACCAACCATGAGATAAACATGATAAAGGACCTTATGGGCGAAAAATCACATTGTGACTTTTCATATTATAAAACTACCGAATCTTCGGAACACAAACTACAATTCACAAGCTTCTATTCATATTTATTTCAGAGATACATGACATCAAACATGGCCATAAGTTGACATTAACATGGTTAAACATCTTCATGACATCAGAGCACAACTGTATCCTTGCACCCATATATTGAATACTCGTTAGTTTCAAATTCATACTGCAGTAAACTGGTAAACTGTAATATAAATACCAAGCAGCTCTACAATGTATATAAATATATCGGTAGTTTCGGAAACCCTGTCATCCATTTCTACAAGTAAGTAGAGAACAACCAATGAGCTAAGGGGAATTACCGATTATTTGTCCTGACTCCTGAGTAAATGAATGGTGTTAATACCGAGCCTTTAGTCATTGTTCTGCCTAGAGACTGAATAAGTGGGTACAGCATGTACAGGGACCCCTTCAGCGTAAATACATGGGGTCGTTTTGAAAAAGTTATGGGGACACACTGAGAGATCATATAGGTTATTGATGCAGAATCACTGTCTACTAGTAACGTTACCGATACATGGACTGTTTCACATGGCATCTTTCTCAGATGTAACGTTTTGGATCATTTGGTTTCAATTGACCAATCTGCATCGAGAATATTGAAAAGTTTTAACACATAATCAATCTACAACTTTCTCAGATGAAACGTATTGCAGCAACAACGTCCAATGTCACATATTTAGCCTCAATAGCTTGTTTGTGATCACTACTGATAGCATATCCCTTCAAGGTACTCTTTTTGACTCCCATAATTATATAAAATAAACCCATCTACATGAATGCGCCCAATGTCCCACTGAGTGTAAATAGTATGCGCCATTCAAAAAATTATTGAGAGAATCCCGCAAGGTTGTTGCCTTGGCAGAACATTGCTTTGGTATATAGTATCCATATTTTTCTCAACAATAAAGCACTGTGATGTCATTTGGCTTCAACTGACCAATCGGCATTGAGAATATTGAAAAGTTATCACACACGAGTATTCTACCCTTTGGGGCAACAGACATGGTGAACATATAAGCAGGGTTCAGGAATATGTAGTAGTGAAATTTGATCATGGTCCCCAATATTTCTATAGGCTCACAATAGTGCAAAATATACTATGCACAAAAAGGAAGGGATATTTTGTTTTTAGGTGAAACTACAGGAAAGTACACCAATGTCTGGCAATGAAAGTAAGTGATTTATGTGGCAAGAACATTTCCAAAAGAAATCAAGCTCCCAAAAACCACATTGTGAGTCATGAAGCAGATGACCTCAGACAGGGATGGCATACCAGATTTACCACTGTCACTCAGACTCAGTTGTGAGCAGACGTATTTTGTTTTCTTGGAACCAAACGCTCAAAGACACTTAATAAATACATTTAATCATTAAGGAAGCAATAGCATTGATCATGCACCTTTTGCAATGTGCTGAACATCATAGGCAGGCTGCAGGTGGCCACATGTCAGAATATTGTTGCCCACGCGCTGCATGTTTCTCAATCTGACATCAGCAATATTGTGGGCCAGACGCAAAACCTTGATTAACTGACACCGCTCTGGACACCCAAGGGCTACAACTCCAGCCCAGTACAAATTAGTCAGAACGATGGCATTAAAATATCGGTTGCAAACTGCCACTCAGACCAGGGACCAGTTTAACAGGCAACTCAGTGTTAGAAATTGGCACTAGTCCTATAGTCCTTGACAAACTGCCTAATAGTTAAGGTATTCTAAGGACTAGTAGAAATTTGCCATTTTTAAGGGTTTTGCAATATGTTATCAGTATAAGGACTAGTGGGCTAAAACTGTTAGTTTGTATTGCTGCAACCAGTGTAAGAGTATGTGCCCAGAAGGTGGGAAATCATCTGTACAGATGGCATTTACATGCATGACGTCCACGTGTCAGTGATGAGAGAATCGACATTTCTGATTTTCTGATAAATCGAGGTTCACTCATAGCTTCCATGACCGAAGGAATCGAGTTTGGAGGCATCCTAATGAGTGTTTTATGGACTTTAACGTTGTACAGCATGATGGGTTTCGGTCCATAATGGCATGCGGTGGTATCAAAATGACTGGCCAAACTGCATTCCATATTGTCCATGGCAGAGTCACGGGTCAATACTATTGGGAGAAAATCATCGCATCAATTGTGGTGTAATTTGCACGACATGCTGGGCAACGTTTCATCTTTCAAGATAATGCACATGCTCATCATGCCAAGATTGTGACCCAATTCTTCCAACTGCAAACTATCCATGTCATGCCATGGCCAGCACTCACTCTTGACCTTTTCCCCATTGAACACCTGGGACGTCATTGGCAGACATGTACATCAACATCAAAATCCACCCACCACTCTTAATGAACCTGCTGTTGCTCTCACTGATGAATGGAACAATATGAGTCAACTCATCAGAAGCATGCCTTGAGCATGTCAGGCCAACAGAGGTGGTATTACCCGCTATTATTGAAATTGGCCGAAAAATGCAAATTTTGAATCTGACCACCGAAGTCTTTAACGACCAAGTGCACCAGAATCTCATCACACCAACCATCAGAACCCATTAGATCTGATCGCCTACACCAACCATTAGAACCCATTAGATCTAATCGTCTACTCCCCAGCAGATATGATCATATCATTTAATTTGCCAATACCATATAGATAAGAAGATATGTCTTGATGATTCCCACTACCCCCTACTTTTTTTGCAAAGTATATATATTGAAAAAATACTGCACTGACCTGAACAATTTTTTTTATTAGATTTAGGACTTAAAAAAGCAGTCAATCAGGTGTACATTAGATGTGAGTCGACTGTAAATAAATAATATTATCTAGGTACTTCTTTCATGTGTCTTTTCATTTAGTTTGAAATAGGTTCTGTTAAAAATGTTGAAGCATGATAAAAAAACACATCTGAACAATGTCAACAATGACAATAACATGTATCTGACATGTGTAATGTTTCATGCCTCAGGCTATCAGATGGCAACCAGTACGTGCTGAGGACCTAATTTAGCACCTTTAACTTAGTGTAAGAAATATGCATAACCTGAATTAATAATCCCAAATCATTCATAGTGTTGTGGATAAGCATGTGCAGATCGAATATGGACAGTATTGGTCCAGTGATAGAAACTAGCATTTTTTGTCCACTGGTCCTTACACTGATAACATATAGCAAAACCCTTAAAATGACAAATTTAGTACTTATCATGCTTATGATGCCTTTTAAAGAGTAAGCAGTTAGGCAAGGACTATAGGACCAGCACCACTTAATATCCCTGTAGTCTAAGTCCGTTGGTAAATGACAAATTGATAAAAGCATTTCTTATTAAATTCCATGAATAAAATATTTGAATGTGATGCCAGAGACGATAAAAATTATCATCTGTACTAGGACTGCAACGAATAACCTATGAGGCGAATACGATTCGTATCACGAATATAGGGTAATCAATGAAATGGTAATGAATACGAATATTAATTCACGAATACAATAATAAGTCAGCAGTTGATGTATTATTTGTTATATTCAGTGAAACATTAACAACATAAATTATTTGACATGGTTTGTTAATTATCTATATTATACATTTATATACTGCACTTGTCCAGGTACTTAGTCTTAGTATCTGCTCAAATGCTACTATGACCAGTGACCAAATTCCTGTCAAATTAAATATTATAAGAGTGTTGTCTTTAAAGAAATCTATGCATATCATATGTTCTTATGGATGTTTTAGGTACAGGGTAAGTAAATGCACATGATTGCATATTCATAAATATTTGATTCTAGTGGCCACAAATAACGAATTCAATTCATGAATGGATACGGTTCGATTCACCGAATACGCGAGTGAATCATAACGGCCCTTATCTGTACAACTGAAAGAGGTAAGCGTGGTATGTTCTGTTTAGTTGATTGCCGACAACTGGTACAGTTTGTGGATAGAAAGTCCAATTTCCACTATTTCTCATCATGTTAGAACAGAAATCAACTCAAACTTTTCCCTCAGACAGAAATAAGTGCATCCCTCACAGTTTCACAAAAATGAAAGTTATTGGAAAAGTCAAGTTTATACACAGAATACATGTATTTCAGAAATAACACGGAAAACATGGTGATAACTGGTCAGTGGCCAGCATATCTTCTATAAATGCCATACTATGTCAGTATCGCCGAGTATCCCTTTTTCGAACATCTGTTTTCAAAAGCTACGTTCGGGAAAACTCAGTTAATGTACCAATCCAATCAGGTGTTTGATGTTTGTTTGTTGTTAAATGCCGCACTCAGCAATATTCCAGCTATATGATGTCGGTCTGTAAAATAATCGAGTCTGGAACAACCCAGTGATTGACATCATGAGCCTCAATCCACATAATTGAGATCGATGACATGCATCAACCAAGTCAGTGAGGTGTTTGAAAACAGGTGACATCACCCGAATGAAGCGGAACTTTACAGAAGAGGCAATTTTTCTAATGGAATATAGATAACACTTTAATTCACATTCAAGTTTTCTTTAAGATTTCTTTAAGATTATATGTAACTATTGTGAATTCTTTATTCTAATACAGCACAGGTTTTGAACTGAACTGAAAGCATTACTAGCCCATGTAAAGAAAAAATGCTCTTGTAGGCCTATGAGTTGTAATGTTAAAACAATGGGGAAATTTACTAGCCTACAGGAATTTGTACTATCGGGTTAGTGTTAATTTCTAACACAGCAGTGACACATAAAAAAATAAAGAAAAACTGAAAAGAGTACGAAAAAATCATAAATAACATTTTTTTTAGAAGCCAGCCACCACATGACATTTTGACAGAGATAGCTCATGCACAATCGGTGTATGCACTCGGCAGAACATGACATAATTATTTCAATTAATAGAAATGCCTGTCTTATAATAGTGAATGAAAGCTCAGAAGACGACACCCATGTGTGACTCAAAGGTTCCCTGTGAAGTAATCTGTCCCATCTATCACTGCTTACGAGCAAGTAACAGATCACCTCGATCTGTCACTCTTTTTCTCGCATGAATTTTCTTTGTTTACTCACCAAAATGTCATTCTGGAAAACCAGTTTGCCTTGTCGTATGGACATTGTGTATGCCTGTCCATGTTGGAGTCCTGCAGCGATGTGGTTTCGTTATATGCTGGCGGTATCGCTCGGCATATTTCACGTCTGCTCCATTTACGAATCCACTGCACCTGCTTCTTTCAAGCCGGGTGTCTCCCAAATCTGGGAACAAATCACGCTTAAACTTGACACAAATTAACGAAGGAAGCAATATAATACCAAATCAATACTCAATTATTTGTCCGTGAGATGCATTCTACACAAAAGCCGTTTATGATTCCTGACTGTTAACAAATTTACCGCTATCTACCTGTGCAATGTTTTGATGAAAGAGGAAGACGAACACGTGACCCGTCTAGAGGTCAAGTACTTGACTCTCCGAGTTACCTCCCCCTGATTACACCGGCCTCACATTCTTTTCGGTCAGCGGTGCGTGACTGCCAATAATTGATTGAGATTAGGGTATGTCACAATTTGAATGATGTTATTCGGGACATCTTAAGATATATGACAAAACAGTGCTGAGCAGCATATTGACTATTCATGTAAGTGATGTTAGTTAAAAATACAGTTACAAAAAGGAAAGAAAATATATATCGAATACAAATTAAATTCAATTAAATGAAATTTAATTTATTTTACTCGAGTAAGATATCAATTATCTATTTTAAGAAAAATGTAATTTGTTATTATTAAATACATAAATATTTTAAAAAAAATTAGGTCACACTTCTTTTTTCATGTCAGATAATACATTATATATAGTACATAGTACATTTGCAGAGATAAAAAAAAATCCGGCAAAAGAAAGTAGGCCTATACACTTTTTTTCTAATTTCAAAATGGATTTGACCAAGCAATTACAAACGTTATCAAGACGTTACTAGACTGACAACTATCGCCGAAACACTTCAAAGTTAAGGCCCGACTCGTACTATCACCATCGAATAATCATCCGTGAAGATCCGGGGTAGAATAGGTCTTCAGCAACCCATTCTTGCCGTAAAAGGCGACTATGCTTGTCGTAAAAGGCGACTAACGGGATCGGGTGGTCAGGCTCGCTGACTTGGTTGATACATGTCATCGATCCCAATTGCGTGGATCGATGCTCATGATATCAATCACTGGATTGTCTGGTCCAGATTCAATTATTTCACAGACCGCCGTCATATAGCTGGAATATTGCTGAGTGCGGCGTTAAACAACAACCAACCAACCAACCAACCATCGAATAATCATTTTAACATTTCTTGTTTGTTATTTTCAGCCACCATCAAACATGGAAGTATACTTTCTTTTGCCCGGCCTTTTACGTCTGTTAAAAATCGAGCCATAATTACAGTATAGGCCAACATATTCCAGGAACTTTATATAAGTCTTAATTTGAGTCTCTGCATATACACACCGCGCTCACTGCTACATGTGGCTTTGTATATATATGGACCTTTTACACAACGATTCACCGACTCTCGTCCAGCATGTAACGACTCACTGATACTGGAGGCCGATTTGAAATTGTTCGAACAAGATATACAGTGCAAAGTCACGTTGTCGGTCATTATGTCATCGTCCCCAGAGTGTGATAGTGACTGACCTGTTTGTTCAGTGAACCGTAAATAACCGTTATCTGTGGCCAGTCAGCTCGCCAGTTGTCTCACTGGGGCGTGGTAGTTCCGAGGTGAGAGTGATTGCTCGTCCAGGTAAAGAAAAGCACCACTTAATACAAAAATAAATCCATAAACACCAATGATGTAAAATTGCCTATATTAAAAATGATCAGCCTTAATCTGAATGTTTGTTGTCTCAGTATCTCTCGATATAAACAGTATTAACATGTCAATCTAGATTGGGAAAAAAACACATCTTGTTCACTGGACCCTCTCCAGATACACATCGTACATATATTCACCGTCATACACTCATATAATAGAAAATGTATTTACAATGCAACATAAAATAAGGAGAAAATATATAATGAATAAAATTGAAAAATGATCTCTTCAGTACTCAACCTCATGGAATGGTTGGCTTGAATTAACATCTTTATGGACTGCTCAAAAAGAAACTTCACTTACCCTTTCCGAAATGTTTACATTACCAAACGAAATTGTATGAACTTTTTAAGCTTACACCACTTTTTTTTTAAGAATTCAGTTTCCCGGTCCCGATGGAAACATTAGCGTAAATATATTCTACATTCTGCTGCCAGATCTATACGAAATCGGTTTGATTGCGCACTTCGTGATGGGCCCCTTGAAGACCCATGCTAGCAGTAAGAGGCGACTGTGCTTGTCGTAGGAGGCGACTGTGCTTGCCGTAAGAGGCGACTGTGCTTGTCGTTGGAGGCGACTGTGCTTGTCGTAGGAGGCGACTGTGCTTGCCGTAAGAGGCGACTGTGCTTGTCGTAGGAGGCGACTGTGCTTGCCGTAGGAGGCGACTGTGCTTGTCGTAGGAGGCGACTGTGCTTGCCGTAAGAGGCGACTGTGCTTGTCGTTGGAGGCGACTGTCCTTGTCGTAGGAGGCGAATGTGCTTGTCGTAGGAGGCGACTGTGCTTGTCGTTGGAGGCGACTGTGCTTGTCGTAGGAGGCGACTAACGGGATCGGGTAGTCAGGCTCGCTGACTTGGTTGATGCATGTCATTATATTGCGTGGATCGATGCTCATGACATCAATCACTGGATTGACTCGATTATGTACAGACCGCCGTCATATAGGTGGAGTATTGCTGAGTGCGGCGTTAAACAACAAACAAACAAACAAACAAACAAACAGAACTTCGCGATGGTGAAGTGTTGATGTTCCCCGAAATGACGACAGTTAAACTGAATATGTTGCAAACCTCATTTTAAAGGGTCTCAATTATAACTTGTACACGTATTGTATACTGTAGGTCTCTCCGTTCTAGGGTTCCAGGTGTTAATCTATGTATAGCTTCTCCTTCATCGTAACACTGGGGAAATGACTGAGTATGATACCATGTGTCAAACATTGTGACTCATTTACTAGTTTTTCCGTGGCACTGTTTCCGCATTCTTTTGGTCTCGTCTCAGACATCACTCTTTTGGTTACCATGGAATCGCCCATTGCTAGACACGCTGCAATTCGTTTCCTCCAAGGTCCAGGAATATCTACAAAACGGCTCTAACTCGACAGACAAACTATGCACATACCAAACAAGAACTGCCACGTTCAGCGCCCACTTGCACAAAGCGGTCTTAGCGCTAAGACCATCGTAAAACTATGTAAAGTATGGGAGTTACGATCATCCTAGCACTAAGATCGCTTTATGCAAGTGGGTCCAGATCATCTCCAGACTGACCTCGCCATGAATCGGAGACTTGTGGCAGGTATTGACTCTTCGAGTTATGTTGTGGTTTGGATGGCGTTCACTAGATCAAGCCAACGTATGCCTGTCAATAACGGATACAATGTTCTGTGCCACCCCTATCTTTATATACCATATATAGAATCTATGATTGGACTGATGATCTGTGATACGACAGTTGTGAAGGGGGTGCAAGATTTTGTTTAGCACCTTCTCGTTATATATTAGATACGAGAATGGTATCAAGGACAAAGACAGACATTAATGCGTGTAAAAAATCATGTATCGCCCTCTCTCTCGTTCGAAAAATACCAGTATTCTGACACTCGTTTCGTAAAATCAGTGTGACACACATGCTCGTATTATAATCTCTATTTAATACTCGTCATCCAGGAAATGTAGTGTAGGACGTGTGAAATGTCAGCTCTGCAGAGAAACTTCCCTGAAATCAACCGATTGTTCAGATGACGTTATGTAATCAAAAAGTGACGTCGTGAACAATGGATAACGACATATGGTATTGTTCTCAACAATGATGCAGTGTGACGTCATATCGCTTTGACCGACCAGTCGCTGAGAATCGCTATCGGGCACATATGAACACGTACCGGAAAGTTTTTTACTCTTGATCTTTCTACACTTTAGGGGTAATATAATAACACTATTAAAATGACTTAAGCCAGTGTTAAAGTATGGGAGTTACGATCACCTTAGCGCTAAGATCGCTTTGTGGAACGGTGCCCAGGGCTAGCAAACGCTACGATTGTCGAGCGTCCATGCTAAACGTTGATCGTAGCTAAATCGGTTTTTGAAACGGGATCCAGATGAATGGTTATCAACAAGAGACACCATATTTTGTCTCCCATCAGCCTGCTCCAGCAACAATAATGCTGCATTACAGGGCCCTGCAAGTCCGAGCACCACCCCACCCCTGCTACCGCCCACCCCTGGGGCTCACCCAGCGTCAGGGCCCCTTTGCACAAAGCAATGTTGAGGTTACGATTACCGTAAGGCTATGTTTTAGAGCTACGATCATCATAGTGCTAAGATCTCTTTGTGCAACGGGGCCCTGATCCACAAAGTATTCGTAGAGCTACGTATACGACTATCGTAACTCGATATACTCTAAACTCAGACACACGACTTTCGAAGTGCGACGAACTCATTGTGGATCTGGCCAACTCCGGTTATCGCAAGTCAATGTCAAAGTATGGGGGTTACTACCGTCACAGCGCTAAGATCGCTTTGTGCAAGTGGACCTTGGACCCATGCCCTTAGAAAGCGCGACTTTAACCTCATTTCGGCCTTCTGAATCGGGTCCACTCGGCTTATGACCCCGAACCTTTGATTCTGGATTGACAGGTTGATTAGTCTGGTACTATAAACTATCATTTATGGGGCCCTAATGGAAGGTTTGAAGAATCTTCATGCATCACACTGTGTCACGAGAACAAGAGTAATATAATTGTGGGCTCATTTATTGATGTATGTACAATGAAGTGATTGTAACCATGCAATGTAAAATGGTATGAACTTGAATTGTAAACTATATTACAGAAGTTGAAATGTCGACAAATACAGAGGCATGTTGATTTATCGTGTTTTATTACTGAAGGTGAACAAATGGGAGGGGCAGCCACCTTTTCTCCAATGTAAAGCTTTTCGTTATTTTACAGAAATATTATGTTTTGCTTGGCAACGTTACTGATCTATGTTATTGTATCTAAGGAGTAGAGACTAATGTACATTCGTTCAATCTTTACAAACAGGACATAATCCTTCAGTAAATTTACTTCTACACTTTACTGTTAGATGTCGTTGTGGTCATTAACATTTTACTACAAATGCACTGACCTGTATCTTTGATGGCTATGAATGTACAAGCCACGTGTTTGCTTTTCTCCAAGGTGCTGGTCAGGGGTCAGTACTTTCATCTTGGATGTTTTGGTGTATATAAACGATTTAATCCACA